TCCGCAGCTTTTTGGGTGATTGTCGAGGATGCCTGCTAGGGATGGGTCCTAGCAGAAGGGCCATGGGGACTGAGGGGCCTTTCTGCTCTTACCCCTGGCTGCGGGGCTCCCTGGAGGCCATGTGCCTTCAGGAGGTAGAGAGATTCCATTCCCACAAGAGCCCTGTGGCTGAGAAAAGCCCCAGAAGCCCCCAAACAGAGGCAAAAACGGAGCTTGGCCACGTGAAGAATTCCTGGGAGGGAAGTGGAGCTCAGAATAAGCCATGTTGTTCTAGCAAAGAGTAGGGAGATACGTGAGACGGGACAAGGGAAGGATTCTAGAGTGACAGGTTCCACCTCCAGTCTGCCCAGCCAGACTTTGGATACTGCTGGCCTCCTGGGGGTTGCACAGGGGTTGGGGTGCTTAGGCGTTAACTGCTTTACCACCTGAGATGTGTCACCACCACTAGCCCAGGCAGAGAGAAGTTTCTAAGTGAGCTCTCCATGTCCCCATGGGTCCCCATGCCTCTTGTATATATTCAGGCACTCTCACTGGTAGGAATTCTTCTGTAGGTCTGACTTAATTCATATTTGCTGTAACCAAAGCCTGTTACCTTGAGAGGTTAATCCCGGAAACTAGACATAGGAGCAGCTTCCATCTGTGACCATGGCTCTGAGGCATTTGACAGGACTGATCATAAACTCTTGCTTAAACCCCAGAATTCTGAGGCTGAAGGCTTTGGAGCCAGCCAATCCTGGATTAAAATACTGGCTGTGCTCTTTCTGGCTGGGTGGCCTCAGACAAGTTACTCAACCTCTCTGAGCTTTAGTGTCTGGTACACCAACGCTTCAAAGATAAAGATTAGTATTATTTTATTATAATCATTTATAAAAAGTGCTTAGCATATAGTAAACACTATAGAGTTGTATGTTAAATAAAATATTAGGGAAGGAAGGATTGGAATAAAAGAAGAAGAATAGGAGTGAGTCATGTTTTATGCTTTTAAAGATCCCCAAGGAAGAATTCCACAACCTTCCTTGGACACCTCATGCAGCAAATCACCATCTCGGTGGTCGTGTTCTCTGCTCTCTAGCCTGATTCCCTCCTGCTGCAGCTGAGCCCTAAGTTGGCCCATCTCAATCCTGCCCTCTACCCTGGCCCCTGGGCTCGCTCCCATCATATACCCTTCCCATCCAGCCCCCAAGGGGCGAAGCTCCACTTACTGCTTGGGTCCACGGTCCTGTTCACAGCGCCCATCCCAGGGGCAGGCAGAGAAGTCGGTGCCTGCCACGTGCCACCTGCCCCCGTCCTCTGCCAGGGCTAGCAGGGCCACCCCGGGCCGGGGGCTGTGTTGCCGCAGCTGGCCAGGTGCTCCACCTCGCAACGGGTGGGCTTCAGGGAGAAGCGGGAGGGCCACGTCAAAGCCGGGCCGAAAGGTGTCCACTGTGGGACTGGCCTCGGCCACCATCGCCTGTCCCAGCTGGAAGGTCCGGGGGCAAGGGGCTGGGTGGAGACTGAGGACCAGGTGGTTCCTGCCCCCATCCCACTGCGGGGGCACCGGGTCGCACTCTCCAGTGGAGGTGTCCGGGCTGAGGAGGAGGAGGAGGCAGGCCTCAGCAGCGCTGAGCGTGTGGTAGCGGGAGCCCTCGACGGAAGCCAGGATCCTGCGGCGAGTCTCAGAGACGGGTCCAGCCGCTGGGTACACGAATACCTTGAGGCCACCGCCTCTGCATTTCGAGGTGTCAAAGCAAGCCCCCCAGTTGCAGCTGCCGCCACGGAGGGCTTGAGGAGGTCGAGGGCCATCTTCCAGGAGCTCCCCAGGCTTAGCGAAACTCTGCAGGAGCTCTGCGTCCAGCCAGCGGGGCCAGCCTTGGGGGGCTGCTGCCCGGGGGCTGGTGGGCACTGCCAGGCGGAGAAGGGGGAAGAGTCCCAGCAGGACGAGGAGCCAGGACGCCAACAGTGCCAGCCAGAGGGACTTCCGTCTCCACGACTGCATGTGGCCACCCACAGCCAGGGCTGCAGGAAGCAGGAGGAGCGGGAGCCTGAGTGTAGGCCTCTGGGACTGGGATCCACCTTCTAGGTCAGCACCCTCATCATACAGATGGGAAGACTGAGGCCCATCGAGGGCAGGCTGCCTGTGTAAGATCAAACAGCAAGTCACAGGCCAGGCACCGGGAGGCCAGGTAGGATCCAGCTCTCTGGCCCTGCCTTCCTGCGGTCAGGACTCTGCTTCCTCGGCCTTTGGACAACCAAGCCAGCCTTTGCCCTCCCAGCGGGGCCCCCTTCCCCTGGCGCTGCTCAGGCTGATGCAACCCCTGTCCAGACTGCAAGGCAGTGTCCTTCTGCCCTCCTGGCTGCACCCCCTGACCTTGGCCTCAACGGAGAGGAGGGCCATCTGCCAGGCCATGGGGGACCCATGAGGGTTCCCACAGGAGGCGGCTTGGCCGGGGTGCAGGGCTGGGTGGAAGCAGGGCTGGTCTCCCCTATCCTCCCCCTGCCTGAGCAGCCCCAGAGCAGCCTGGCCACACCTGTGCCCACTGGCAGGCACTCCTGGGCTGTAGGCCCTGCAGCTGGTGCTTAAATTAGACCCTGCATCCCATGTGGGCTCTCAGAGTCAGCTGAGGTCAAGGCCTGAGTGCAGCCAGTGGCCCCTACCTGGGGGACTGGGAAGGCTCTGGGTCCTGGTCCTCTCCCACCCTCCCACTGTCCTGGCTCAGGCGGCTCGGCCCCTCCTCCCTCCAACGCTAGTAGCTGGTCCTGCACCCTCTGGCTTGGAGCTATCAGGGTGCAGAGGCCAGGGACCCCGTGCCAAGCCCCTGCCCCATGGTCCCCAAGCCCCGCTGGTGTCTTGCGTCCCCTCTCAGGGCAGCATCTGGCCAGTCTAGATCTCTTTCCTAGCGGCAGCCTGGCTCCTCCCCTGCCAGCCCTGATTCGCTCCTGGCTGGGAGGCAAGGTCTCCACTTAACCCCTTCCAAACCCGTTTTCTGGATTGCTATTAATAATAACCCCCAGGGCCCACACCTCACAGTTGGCCTTGAGCTCTCACAACCTCTGTCTCTGAATTCTCACATCAACCTTCCAAGGCCAAAGTTTATCACTGTTGTGTTTCCTATGGATGAGGAAAGTGAAGCTCAGAGAGGGGATGGTATCTTATAAGGTGACCCAGCTAAGGAGTGGCAGGGTGGGGATTTGAACCCAGAGCTCCTGACCTGAGTCCTTAGAGCTTGCCACTGGTCACCACAGATGCGGGATTCGCTCCTGGCTGGTAGGCAGGCTCTCCACTTAACCCCTTCCATCAACAGATGAGATAAGTGAGGTGTCAAGGGGCTGGGGGGCTGGTACTGGGCAAGGTGCTCCCAGCTATTCCCAGGATTGGTCCCTCTTCCTTCAGCTGCCCCGCCCTCACCCTCCACCAGTCCTATCCAGCTCCAGCTCCAGCTTTTTCAGGCCCGTTCGTGGCACCTTACACTCAGGCGCACAGGTCAGCCCTTGCCTGGAGCTCTGTGGGAAGGGTCTGTAGGACCGGATGCTTACTCCAGTTCATATGGGGAGTTCCTTCTGAGGGTGAACGGACTCTCCATTAGTCCACACCCCACTGAGGGTTTCCCCCCCTGCTCAGTTCTTGGGTCTGTGCTCTATGAGGGAAGTCAGGAATGGGTGATGTCACCCACTGAGGAATCGCTGAAATGATGAGAGAGAGAGACTCTGCCTGCCGGAAGCCCCAGTCTGACGAAGGCAGCCACAGCGAGCCCGGCAGAGCTGGAGTGGACTCTGCTTCCACCTCTTACTGGCTGGATGATGTTGGGCCTCTGCCCCCTCTTCTCTAGGAAGGCAATAATAATATCTGCCATGAGACAGTAGCCTGGTCAAAGCTAGGCCTACCCTGTGGGTGTCCCTCAACAAGTGGCAGCCTCCTGCCTTCTTGCCTTCCTCTGATCTCAGAGGGCCGCTGATCTGATGAGGGAGCTACCATGGGAATGTTATCCTCTCAGTGGGCAGCCAGTCTGGGGTGGGGCACAGTTCATACACCCAAGAAAGTCCTCAAAATGGCCAACAGAGGGGGAATCTGACCTCCTTGCTCTACAGGGTCAGTCACTAGGTGAGGGGCCGACTTTCCTGCGCACATTGGGTTCTCTCCCGTGAAGAGGGGCCGTTGCATGTGCTGCTCCTGCCTTTCACCTTCCTCTGCTAACTCCTCCTCACCCTACGGGGATCAGCCAGGGCTCCCTTCCTGTAGGAAGTTTCCCTAACTATCCTCCGGCTGTGTTACAGAGCTTCTCTAGGTTCTCATGCCATTTCTTCATCCTCTGTGCCTGTACTCATTCATTCATTTATCCAGCAAATACTTAATGAGCACTAAATATGGGTCAGGTTTTGTGCCAGGCACTGCGGATGCAATATTGAAGAACAATAATAGCTAACGTTCATATTATACTTAGTATGTGCCACGCATGGCTCTGAGTGCCAGTGCATTAGCTTATTCAATCCTCTCTTGTGAGGGCTTTGAGGGAGATACTATTATTATCCCCATTTTCCAGATGAGGAAATGGAGGCCCAGGGAGCTTAGGTAACTTGATTCATTCCCCCCACACCTCAGCCTGGATTTAGACCCAGGCCATCCGTTCCTTTAACTTCTGCACCATTCCACCTCCTGAGCTAGAAGCACAGTCCCACCCTCCCAGGCTCACTGTCCCAGGGAAAGAGAGACCAGTAACCAAGCAATTACAGGACGAGGGAAGGGGGACTGTGGGAGTGCTCAGAGGGGCTGCCTAACCCAGGGGGCCATAAAAGGCGTCTGAGGCAATGACATCACTGCAGCTGCCTGTGTAGGGACAGACAGGAAATGGCAGAAGTGGAGGCAGGGTCAGCTTTTCCTACGGGTCACCCCACAAGTCACTCTTTCACTCGTTCCACAGCTACTTAATGTGCCACTGCTGTGAGCCAGCCGGGTCCTCAGGGAGTGATCTGGTGGCGCTTCCTTTCCTGAGAGAGAAAATCAGCAATGAACGTAACAGATAAGTAAAATATCTCACTTGATATTTGGCAATGATGCTCTGGAGAAGGGGAGGGCCTGCAATGTTAAATGCAACGTTCACTGTTAGAGGCAGGCCTCCCTGAAAAGCTGACCTTTGAGGTGAGGGAGTGAGCGGAGGATGTTTCTAGGGGAAGGTCATTCCGCCAGGGCACAGGCTCTGGGTGGGGAGTCTTCCTGCCCTGTGCAAAGCCTGATCTAACCTTGTTTCCATAGCACCGCTCGGACTCCAGCTGAGAGGCTGACACAGCAGCAGAGACAGAAGCAGAGAGCAGGTGAGCCCTGATGGTGGTTTGGACCATGGGTGAAAGGGTTGAGAAATAATTATTTTCTGCATATATTTTGAGCCAGGGAAAAACAACGGATTTGCTGACGGGTTGGATGTGAGGTTGGGCGTGAGCCACAGGCAAGATGGAGCTCCCGTCAACTGAGATGAACTGAGCGGGAAGCCAATTTGGGGAGGAAGGTCAGGACTTCGGTTCTGAGGCTAGGAGTTGTGTTCCATTCATCTTTTCCTTTTTTAAAATTAATTAATTAATTAATTTTTGGCTGCATTGAGTCTTCGTTGCTGCACACGGGCTTTCTCTAGTTGCGGCGAGCAGGGGTTACTCTTTGCTGCGGTACGCGGCTTCTCACTGTGGTGGCTTCTTGTTGCGGAGCACAGGCTCTAGGCACGCGGGCTTCAGTAGATGTGGCTCACGGGCTCTAGAGCGCGGGCTCAGTTGTTGTGGCGCATGGGCTTAGTTGCTCCGCGGCATGTGGGATCTTCGCAGACCAGGGCTTGAACCCGTGTCCCCTGCATTGGCAGGTGGATTCTTAACCACTGTGCCACCAGGGAAGCCCCCATTCATACTTTTAATTCCAGCATTCATAGAATAAATGGCCAAGAAATGCTTGTTGAATGAGTGAATAAATGGATGATGGACAAAGTTGGGAGGGTAGGAGGCCAAGGCCAGCTGGTGAGGGGCTTGCGGGGACCCTGATACTGTTCCAGCTCTCCCACCGCCGGCCCTGAACACTCTGGCTGGCTCGTGCGCACACCCACACTTGCATCTCTACACAAGGCCTCTCCTACTTTCATGTCTGCAGGGGGCCAGCCGGGGCCTAGGCTTGTCCAAAAGTGAGTCACAGAGTTGCCCTGGGCCTTGGATGGAGGAAGAGGAGGCAGGGCATCCTGGCAGGCAGGACTGCACTGGGCTCATCCTAAAAGTACATCTCTGGGCTCTGCCAAGGGCTCCAGGGCCTCCATCGGGCTCTTTAGGGCTCATCAAAGCCTCCAGGAGTTCCCGTCCCATACTTGGGCTCTGATCAATGGGACAGAAGCCAACACTTTGGGGAGAGGGGAGCGGGAAGGGCAGGAAGGAGAGGACAGCCGTGAATAGGAGGAGGAGGAAGAGAAGGCCTGGCGCCTGGTTCAGAGGCTTCTGGGATGAGGCAGAAGCCTTGCTTCCTGCAGGGCAAGGTTGAAGAAGGCCTTTATGTGGATTTGAGGATAAGGAGGTGCTCTGGACGGCATCCCGGAGCTCTGAGCACTACGGTGTTTGTTTCATTGCCATGGCGGCGTCACGCTGCCTGGGGGCTGCCTGAGCGTGGGGTTTCTTCCTGCCTGAAGTGCCAGGTGTCATGCAGGCCAAGGTGCCCAGGTAGAAAATGGGCGCTAGCATCACTGTTTGATCTGAAGTGTTCCCTCTTTGCACCCTGAGTCTGCCTCCCTCCTGGCCTTCCTCCTCTGGGTTGGGCCTGAAATCTCCAGAAGGACTATATCTAGTCTCCCAGGAGGAAGGGGCCTGGAGCCCTGTATAGTGCTGTGGTTAAGAGCACTTAGCAAGCTTGTGTTCCCGTGCAAGCGACTTTACCTCTCTGTGCTTCTGCTTCTTCATCTGTAAATGGTGGTAATAGCTCCTTCCTCAAAGGCTCGCTGGGAAGAGGATTACGTGAGATCATGAATGTTTGGCATTCAAAACACCATGCCTGGGCGACTTCCCTGGTGGCGCAGTGGTTGAGAATCCGCCTGCCAATGCAGGGGGCATGGGTTCGAGCCCTGGTCCGGGAAGATTCCACATGCTGCGGAGCAACTAAGCCCCTTTGTCACAGCTACTGAGCCGGCGTGCCTAGAGCCTGCGAGCCACAACTACTGACTGAAGCCCGCGTGCCTAGAGCCCGTGCTCCGCAACAAGAGAAGCCACCGCAATGAGAAGCCTGTGCACCTCAACGAAGAGCAGCCCCCTCACGCTGCAACTAGAGAAAGCCTGTGCACAGCAACGAAGACCCAGTGCAGCCAAAAATAAATAAGATAAATTAAAAAACACACTAACAAACAAAAAACACCAGGCCTGACCCTCAGGCACCTAACAAATGATGTCCTCTCTCCCCCCTCAGGCCCCAGGGCAGTGAGATGACTTGCACAAGGGGCATCAAGCTGTCCATCTGGGTAGATTGGGACCAGGACTTGGATTTTCCTTCCTGTGCCTGTGTTCTTCCTGCTGCATCCCCATCTCTGTTCTGGAAGAAAGAACACACTCGGAGCTCCAGGACGCAATCACCGTGGAAACCCATCTGCTTCGTCTTATCTGCTGCTGTTTTTTCCTCCCTCTTTGAGCCATCTGGGTGTCTCACTACAGAATTAGCAAGAGCGGGGGCTGGAGGCTGCGGGAGACTCTGGGGTTTCAGCTCTCACTTGCTGGAGCACAGATAATCCCAAACTGTGGTGAATCCCCACAGGGCCCTGCAATATCTGTCCAGCTCCAGCTAAAGTGAGTCTGCCCCTCTAGGCACCACCAGCATGCAGAGCGGACAGATGCAGGATGCAGTTGTCTGCCCACAGCGCCAACTCACACCTGGACCGCACCTGGGGGAGGGCCAGAGGAGCAGCCCAGGGGACCCGGGGAGGGGAGTTGGGGAAAGCAGGTCTGGCCTCTGCTTCTCCCCCAGGCACAGCTTGTGACCTTGGACAAGTCACATCCTTTTTTCTGGGCCTTCCATTTCTCACTCTCAACCTAACATGGTAGCAGGACTAGGCTTTCCAGAGCAAAAAGGTCTGGAATTCTTACTCAGAAGTTATCCTGATATAGGTTGCAGGTCAATCCTTCCCTTTCCCATCCTGTCAAGACTTGACTTTGTTAAGGAAAAGTATACGAACTTGGAAGTGAGGCAATGGGACGACTGCTTGACCTTCGTCTGTCCATTGGGGCATCTTCTAGCAAGCCCCCGGGGGTCATGTGACTCCCTATGTATTAGGATCCAGGTATTTTATAAGCCTGAGAACTAAGATGCTAACTTGTAGAAAACAGATAAGATACAAAGGATTTTTGTCCAATAGTGATACAAATGATTTCTGACCAGTAGAGATCACCCTGAAGATTATAGGCATGCACTATAGGGCATTTGCCAGTTGGGAATCTGACTAGCAATCTTATTTCAGCCTTCTCTGTGCTTTGCTGACTATTATCAATGAGTCCTCTGAACCAGCTTTGTCATCCTGAGAGTCTCCTCATGAATGAGTGAAATACAACTTTGACAGGTGCTCACTACGCATTTGTAGAATAATTTTTTTTTTTTTTTAATATTTAGAAGACTAAGAGTTGACAGCTCACTGGGCCTCATTTTCCTCTTCTGTAAAATGAGGAATTCGAGGAAGCGGCTTACAGATTTGCTGACCACGTGCCAGGCACTGTTGAACTCTATTTATTTATTTTTGGCTACGTTGGGTCTTTGTTGCTGCGCGGGGGCTTTCTGTAGTTGCGGCGAATGGGGGCTACTCTTCCTTGTGGTGCGCAGGCTTCTCATTGCAGTAGCTTCTCTTGTTGCAGAGCATGGGCTCTAGGTGCGCGAGCTTCAGTAGTTGTGGCGCATGGGCTCAGTAGTTGTGGCGCACGGGTTTAGTTGCTCTGAGGCATGTGAGATCTTCCCGGACCAGGGATCGAACCTGTGTCTCCTGCGTTGGCAGGTGGATTCTTAACCACTGTGCCACCAGGGAAGTCCCTGTTGAGCTCTTTATATCCATGATTTCATTTAAGCCTCACAGCAAAACTGCCAGGGCAGCTATTCACCCCCTGTGAGGTTAATGAGGTTCAGAGAGGTGAAGTGATTGCTCCAAGCCTTCACAGCCAGGGAGTAACAGAACCTGGATTTGAACCAATGCATCACAGGTTGGAGGGGCACGCTGTTTCCTGCTTCACAGGTTTATTGTGGAGCTCCTTGAATGAGACAACAGGTGGGAAAGTGCTTGGCAAACTCTACAGGTATGCACACATGTGAATAATTATAGCCACCCCTAGGCTATCTTCTAACCAGCCACACCTAGACCTGGCCCAGGGTCTGGTCTCCCCTCCCCTGGGAAGCAGGCCTCTGCTCCCCGCAGGGTGGGTTTCTGTTATCCGGAGAAAGTCAGAGGAGACTGAGGTGAGCAGGCATCTCTGGTCCAGCCCCTCACAAACAGGACACCTGCTGGAAACCACAGGCTGAGCTCTGAGCTCTGGCTGTTCCTTTGGGGCCTGTATTCCTGGGCCAAGGGTTCAGGGTAGGGGCTAGGGGACAGCAGATTTGGACAGGCCAAGTAAAGTCGATTTCTAACCCTAGTTCTGAAGTCATTCTGTGCCATCCTTCTGAATATTTCACCTGAATTAGACCCTCTCTGAAGGCTCCAGAAGCCATGCCCAGTCTCCCCTAGTTTCTGGAGCCTCCCAGAGCTGCCCATACCTGGACACGTCCACCTCAGCCCTGGGTGCCAAGTGGTTAATCATTGGGGCCAGCTTGGCAAATGTTTACCTAGCAGGCAGGCTGCTTGGAACCCCAGGTAATTGACAGCCGGCTTTCCAAAGCCAAGGCAGGAAGATTTATTTGTCCTCTCCTTCCTCCCCAGGGATGCTGCTTGGCGGAGTAAACAGCTTTCAGCTGGCTCTTTGAGGCGATGCTCAGCAGAGGGGTGGGAGCTGGGGGCAGGGATCAGGCCCAGAGGTGGGCCCCGAGGAGGCGTTGAAGGGGCCTCAGACCCATTTTTCTGGAGTCTGGGCCCCACCTCGGGAGCCTGGCTTAGACTGGCATTCCATAATATGTGATAATTATTGCTGTAATTGATGGAGCCCCTGACATACATCGCCTCGTTTAATTCTTACAAGCACCAGAAGATCGAGGGACTCTTATCTCTGCTTCCAGACTAGGGAAGGGGGATGCAGAGGTGAAATCAGTTGTCTAGGGCCACCCAGCTAGTGAGTGATAGAGCTGGGACCAAACTGCAGTCTGTTTGACATCAGATCTGCTGGGCTTTCTGCTTTCCCTCAAGGAAGAAAAGGCTATCAATTTGTTGAGAACTTACTATGTGCCTGGCACTATGTTGGACACTTTGTTTCAATCTCTAATCCAGAAGTATCTCCTAGAACCCCTTTACTGTGCCATTAACATCAAAAGAGTGAGATAGTACAGTTCATAACTGGGGAAGGAAACACAGGCGTGAACCCCAGAAATAAAATCAGGATGGGCTACGATTGCCTCTTGTAACCTAAAGGCATCCTCATTGGATGTCTATCAGGTCCTGCAGCCCCGCCTCCATACAGACCCTGATGTTAGCGGGCTCCCACTCCCCTGCACCCTCCAAAGTCCAGGCCACCATCATTTTGCACCTGGGTCATTGCATTGGCCTCTGGTCTCTGCTTTCCTCTTGTCTCACTAAAACACTGTCTCCTCACAGCAGCCAGAGGACCTGTTAAAATGTAAACCCCATCTCCCCTTGGCTGTAACTCTGTATTAGCCATGTCTTTTTAGTTTCTGTGTTTTGATGTTTCGCACCAGGGCCTTGCTGACCCTGGAGGGACTGCCCCTCCCAGGGTAGCCAATTCCTATAGATAGTAAAAACTCACCCTTGAGCTTGCCTTTCAAATGCAAACTACCCAGTCCAGAGCCTATACCCCGTCACCTCCGCTACTGGGCTCTCACACTCAGGGCCACTACTCCCCTGATTTATGCATCACAGGGTCAGGTACCAGGCAACTGGAGACAGCCTCATGCCCAGAGCCCACTGAAATTATTAATCCAGCCAATTCTAAGACTGCTTGCGGCCTCACGCACTCCTCCCATGGAAACCACAATCAAGACCCTTGCCTGTGTTTTCCCCTCCCTCCCTCTGCCTCCTGACCAACCCTGGTGCTTCCCCATGTGCCCCCCCGCCACCGCCCTGCCCCAGTGGCATGGTGCGCCTCCTCCTCTTGGGTTCTGTGAGTATAATGAACTGTCTTTCCAATGGCAGTTGTCTCCTGGTCTGTTGGCCTCACTGTACCTAAATAATAATAAAACCTATATTTTGAAACAAACTCCCCCAGTGGCTTCCATCACACAAGAACAAAATCCAGGCTTCTTTCCACAGCTTAGAAGGCCCTCCAAGATCTGGGCCCTGCCTGCCCTCAAGACATTGTCTCCTGCCCCCCTCCCCAGACACGATGCTCCAGACCCAGCAAAGCCATTTCCACCTTAGGACCCTTCACCTGGCTGTCCCCTCTGCCTGGAACGTTCTTCTCTCAGAGCTCATCATGGGTGGCTCCTTATTGACATGCAGGGCTCAGTTTACATGTCACCTCCTCAGGGAGGCCTTCTCTGAGCACTCACCATCAGGGAAGAGTGATAGCTAGCACTTCTTGGGTGTTTTCTATGTGCCAGGCACCATTTTATGTCCTTTTCAAGTATTCACTCTTTGAATCCTCACAACAACCCTATAAGGTAGGTATTATTATTATTTCCATTTTGCAAGTGAGGAAACTGAGGCTCAGAGAGTTCAGGGACATGACCAAAGTCTCACAGCTAACAGGCAGGAGAGCTGGGATTCAGATCCAGCAGCCCATTTCCAGAGCCTATACTCTGAACCACTGCACCTTATCTCCTGCTGCAGAGTAAGTTTACAATAACTATTATTATTACTATTGTTTTGAATAGAGGCCAGGTTTTACCCACCTGTGTTCTTTAATCAAATTTGAATTCCTTTGGGCAAGCCAATCACTGTCAAGTTTGCCACAGTCCCTCCTGCTCCCTACTGTCTTACACCAATTTACCTGACTTGCTTGGACCCTGAAGGCATTCATGTTTGCAGCCTCCACTCTGGGTGCCTCTTATTCGCTCATTCTTTTAACCAACACCCACTGTGGCAGATGCTGTGCTAGGCCCACAGTGATGAATAAGATGGCATCCATGCCCTCAAGGAGCCATGGTCCTGTTCAGAGGAGACAGGCACACAGGTCACTTCATTGTATTGTTATGTGTGCTGTTACGGGGACGCCAGTGAGTGTTAGGGAAGCACAGGGGGATTCAGCCAGGAAGGATTTCCCAAAGAAAGTGACATCTCTGCTGGGTTTGAAAGATTAGACAGAGAGCAGACCAGGAAGACACAGCACAAGCAAAATGGAAAAAGCACAAACAAATGCATGGAGGTGGCTGAGTGCACGGCTGTCTAGGGACGAGCTTGTCACTTTGGATGAGAAGGAGGAGTGAATCTGACAGGCTGAAGGAAGTTGGTCCAGACCTTGAAGGTCTTCTGCACTTCTGGAAGGACTGCAGCTTTTGTTGTGGAGCCTGACAGCAGTCCGAGGAGGATTTTAAGCAGGGAATGACATGGCATTGTTGATAAGGGTTCCACCCCACCACACCCCCATTTTCCCCAACCTCCCTTGAGAACTTGGTACTCACCTAGCCAGCTTGTGTTCTGCAGGCTGGTGGGCCTTTACCAGGCATTTGATGGGCTTGTTGATAACAAGACTGAGGGCCTGGAAGAGAAGATTAAGAGTGGGCATTCAGGCCTCCCTCGGCTTCTTGGTGTCCCAGAACTGGCCTAGCCTCCGAGATTCATTTTTGATGAGAGATTCTGAGAAGCAGGCCATTGCCAAGGCCAAGTAAACTCCCAAAGCCATGGAAGGAGCCAGAAAATAGAAAGAGTAATGCCTTCACCAGTTTTCCCCTCCCAGGGGCGGGGGCGGGGCAGAATGTCCAGCCTCTTTGTTTGTAGGAAGCCCCCTCAACCTGGCCTCCTTCCTCTGGGCTCCATAGTCTCTGCTCCTCCCAGCTGAGGCTCTGGTGACTACCTCGGGGTCGGGGTGGGGTGGCATCCCTCAGCTGTTTATTTAGGCCCCTCTCTGAGAGGGGAAATGCTGGAACAACTCTAGAGACCCCGATTCCTATCCTTTCTCTCCAGCCAAGGGCTAAGGCAGTAGAATATGTAGATCTGCATTTTGGTCCTGGATTTTAAATTTTTGTTTATTAATTTTTCGGCCATGCTGCGTGGCTTGTGGGATCCTAGCTCCCCAGCCAGGGATCGAACCTGTGCCCCCTGCAGTGGAAGCACGGAGTCCTAACCACTTGACCTCCATGGAATTCCCTTTGTCCTGGCTTTGCCAGTCTTTAACTATAAAACCTGGGTAGGTCTCCTGGCCTCTGTGAATCTGTTTCCTGACCTGCAAATCAGGAATGGTACTACCGATGTCTCAGAATCTCTGTGTCAACTGAATGAGATAGGGTTTGCCAGGCACTTGGCACAAACATGATTCTTACCAGTGCTGGACACTAGCAGCTGGAGTTCATCAGGGGGAGGGTGGCAGGGATGGAGTGTCGTGGACATTGGATGGACCACAACGGATTCAACACATGTTTCGGCAGAGGAGACAGCACGTGCAAAGGCATAGAGGGTGACAGGGCGTGGCACAGTTCGAGAATGTTATGTCCCCAAGCACTTTTCTGTGCTTGGAGCAAGGGGGTGGCTTGAGTTCCCCCAAAAGCAGACCCTGAGACTTGGGTGCTTGTAGTCTATTTGGGAGGTGATTTCAAGAAGCAGAAGTTAGAGCATGGAGAAGACACAGGGAGGGGAGCACTAATGTGCAGCTTAGTGCTGTGAGCCCCTGGGCTCAGCTCCCCATGGAAACTCAAGAGACAGTGTGAAATGCACCTCAGAATCATCCTATCTAAGGATGGGGAGTCATCAGCTTCCATCATGGCCGAAGGTTGCCCTTGGGGTGGGTAGCACTTGCCTCTCGTTCCTGGTTCATAGATGCCTAAGACAGCCCTCGGGCAAGGAAGCAGACACAAGTGGGACTTTGAGTGCAGAGGCTCTCAGCTGCTGGAAACCACCACACACGGGGGCTCAGAGAAGGGATGAGGGGCTATGAGGCTGGTATCCACATTGACTGCTACTACCTCTTTGAGCCTCTGTTTTCTTGTCTGAAAAATAGAGAGAATATGACATACTTCCCAGGAGGACTAAATGAGGTAAAGGATTTGGAAGTTGCTAATGACATGTCTGATACATAGTAGATAATCAAGAAATGGGAGGTATTAGGGCAGCTGAGCTCAGTGGTAGGTTGGGCTCAGCTCAGATGCCAGCTCCTCAGAGAATCCTTCCCTGGCCATCCTACTGAGAGTAGCTCACTCCTTTTATTCTCCATCAAAGCATCTTATTTCCTTTAGAGCACTTAATGGTATGCAATTATCTTGGTTATATGCTCGCTTATTATCTGTCTCCCCTCAATAGAATGAAAGCACCATGTGGGTAGGGAATTAATCTCTCTATTCACTGCTTGATTTCTAGTGCTTATTACTGTTATTATAGTAACAATAATAGAGTAGGACAGTTATTGTTCTTGATTTTTATTAAGCATATACACTCTACCTGCTAACAGGATGTTAAAAGAGGATTCACCCAGACTCCAACTGGGTCCCAATGAGATGATAGGAAACAAAAAACAGTGGCTCCCTCTGGGGGCGGTGAGTGATTGAAAACAGAGAAGAGGCATGAGACAGGGAGCATTGGAAATGTTCTACATTTCAAACTAGGTGATGGCTATATCAAATGTTTTCTTTTTTAAAAGGTTGAGCTGGACGGTTAGTATTAGTGCACTTCACACACTTTGTTGTATGCATATTATAGTTTGATTTTAAAAAGTGTCGTCCACCAACTTCAGCATGTAGTGGGGAGAAAAGGAAATCCAAAGCTGGTCACTCATATGCCAACTTAAAGTAACTTAGCAACAAGGTAAAGGCTGGAGTGGGATGGTAGCCAACCAGAAGAGATCCTTGAACTGTTGGAGGATGGGATCTATAATGAAAGCCTGGAAAATCAACCACTTGCTGAAAACTTAAAGCGTTTGTGTTGTTTATCCCCCAAAAGACTAGATTGGAATGGAATGCAATTGAACTCAAGTATTTTATTTTGCAACAGGAGTCTGGGCCCAAGGTAGATCTTCCTAACAGTGACAAAGGAGGTAAAGGAGGCTGTGACATCCCTGTACCTGGGAAGTTTAAAACTTAGCTGGCCAGCAAACGTCCCCAGTATGGCCTAGTCTGGGAGTAGGAGACAGAGAAACAAACTCCAGCTGTCCCTCTCAGGACCAGGGACTCTAGTTAGTCCTGGGTAATCTGGGCCAGTTGCAGAGCACTGATTAATAAGCCAGAGAACCATCTCTGATCTGCAGTAAGCTTTTTATGTTCTGCCGTCACCACCACCAACCACAGCTTTAATTAAATTTGGGGCTTGATTACCACACGCGGTGCTGCCATCACTCTCTCCTGATGACTTTATCTTGGTTCCTGGAAGGATGGTGGTGGTGACAGTGTCAGGAGGAGAGGAGAGTCTAAAGAAGCCTGAAGCATGGGCTTCCCTGGTGGCGCAGTGTTTGAGAGTCCGCCTGCCGATGCAGGGGATACAGGTTTGTGCCCCGGTCCGGGAGGATCCCACATGTCGCGGAGCGGCTGGGCCTGTGAGCCGTGACCACTGAGCCTGCGCGTCCGGAGCCTGTGCTCCGCAACGGGAGAGGCCACGGCAGTGCGACGCCGTGTACCGCAAAAAAAAAAAAAAAAAAAGAAGTGTGGAGGTAACAATGAGAACCTGCTACATCTTGAGACTGGTGAGGAGGTGACCGTAGCTGGGGGCGCGGCAGGGCCGAAGAAAGGCGATTCCTGTCAGAGGACGCCAGGAGCAACACTTCAGAGCACGTCTTGGTGATGGGTGGGGGTTGCAGTTTGGGGAGGACCTTGAATGCCAAGCTGAGAAGTTGGGACCTTTTTCAGCAGGTAGTAGGAAGCCTTTGAAAGTTTTTTTTTTTTTTTTTTTTTTTTGTGGAACGCGGGCCTCTCACTGTTGTGGCCTCTCCCGTTGTGGAGCACAGGCTCCGGACGCGCAGGCTCAGCGGCCATGGCTCACGGGCCCAGCCGCTCCGCGGCATGTGGGATCTTCTCGGACCGGGGCACGAACCCGTGTCCCCTGCATCAGCAGGTGGACTCTCAACCACTGTGCCACCAGGGAAGCCCTTTTGAAAGTTTTTGAGCTGCCAGGATGATCCAGTTTTCTTATGGAAGTTTACAAGACTCCTGAGGATGTAGTCCTGCCTCCCTCCTCAGGTGTGCCTCTCTATCCCATCCCTCACACTCTGTGCTCCAGCCAGAGTGTAAAACATTCTTCATACTCCCCGTACTCCTGGCTAAGTCCTATTCCTTCAGTTCTCAATTTTAACATTTCTCTAAGATCTCCAAGAAACCTTGAAGACACCATCCCATTTCTCCTAAGCCTGGGCAGGTGCTGCCTTTCAAGAAGGCTCCTATAACCCCTCGCGTCTTCCCCATTAGAGCTCGTATCACCGTGTAATTCTTCATTTGTCGGAATCCTCCGCTGGATTGTGAATTCTTTCAAGGTTAGCGACAGTAACTTGTGTGTTTCTAAGAACACACCAGTGTGTCCCTAAGAATCAGCATAGTGTCAGCAAAGTGAGGATGGATGGAGCGGCTGGGGCCGGAGGGGCGGGGAGGAATCTCTCAGGTTCCTCTCAGTTCTTGGCCATGAGTTTCTGAAGAAGGACAATGGAATACCACAAGTGTGAACAGGTAAGGTTGGTGGGAAATGCGCCCTTAATTTGAATGATCAGTCTTATACTCTCACTGGAAGCACAATGTGGAGAACACAAAACAAGCTCACGGGCTTCCCTGCTGCCGCAGTGGTTGAGAGTCCGCCTGCTGATGCAGGGAACACGGGTTCGTGCCCCGGTCCGGGAAGATCCCACATGCTGCGGAACGGCTGGGCCCGTGAGCCACGGCCGCTGAGCCTGCGCGGCCGGAGCCTGTGCTCTGCAACAGGAGAGGCCACAACAGTGAGAGGCCCGCGTACCTCAAAAAAAAAAAAAAAAAACCCAAAACAAAAAAAAAAACCAAACAAGCTCAGACCTTCTCCTCACGGCCCTGAGAATAAAGCAAAGCCCAGGTTATCTCCAGGCACGCCCAGGAATTATTTGAGGAACGGTGAGGCGGAGGGTTACTAACCGGGACTATAAGCAGTAACCCTCCGCTCGGGCTTTGTAATCGTGGTGGCGGCTCCTCGACCACCAGGGGGAGGAATCACACCGCATTCCGGCTTTTGGGCGGTTTCACACCAAGACGAGGGGCCGTGTAGACCTCTGGGAATCGTAGTCCTGGGGGGCGGGTCGTAATGTGCAATCTTGCGCGGTGCACCTCGGAAGTTATAGTTCCGGACAGAGAGGCGGGAAATGGTTTTAAGCGCTAATTTCGAGTTCTAGAAACTACAACTACCAAAGGGCCACTGGCTCCTGGGCAGTTTCTCGTTTCCGTCGAGTTGACCTTTTGGGTTGCTTCTGAGAGGTCCACTTGACTGGGTAAGTTTGATTGGAGAAAGCTTCTATTCTGGACTGAGGGGTCTAAAGACTTGCTCACATTCCAGGTCGGTTTGGGGGGCTTTCTCGTCTTAATCCCAGGCTAATCCACATTAGTCCTTTATCTTTTCTGTTTCCTACTGAAACACCTCCAATATCCGCCCTCACCCTTTATTCTCCCACTATCATCTTGCTCTTTCACTCCCGGCGCCCCTGGAATCCCACGGTGAGCTCTCTCGTTCGGAGCCCACAGCTTCACCCCGAGCCCACGGCATCACCTCTCTGAAACGTGGCCTTCTTTGTGCTCCACACTTTTTATGTGCTTCACTCTTACCCTCAGTTTCCTGGTTTTCATACTAGTGAAAGAAGGGTCACCATTCCTTCTTTCACAATCCACGGAAGTGCCCAGGACTGGAAGTCAACCCATAATACGAAATGGAGATGACAGTTGCTCTCTCCGTCTTAGCTTGAGGCAGTGTTGTGGAGCCAATAAGCTAATACGTGTGAAAGTGTTTTATAAACTGTAAAGCCTCCACAAGCGAGAGATTATTTTTACTATAATTATTAATGCTCTGAAAAACTCTTATCTTGGCTCCTTTTATAGCTCTGTCCCCTTGTTGCTCAAACCTGCCCCTGAGCACTTGGTGTCTCCATTCTCTGAGAGCAGGATGTTAGTTCCTCACTTCCCCAGAGACCACAGACTAATGAGCTCTAAGACTCCAGAGAGCTTTGTCTGGCAGGAAGCCCCAGAGAAGTGCTTGTCTTGGACTCTGTCCTGAAATAGCCAGTGATGAAAAGTCCACACAGCTGGCAGAAGGGTGGTCCCTGAACACTGGAAACGGGGCCCCAGCAGGAGATGGACAGCTGCAGTGTAAGCCCTATCCGTTCCCTCTGGGCTCTTCTGGGCCTGTTTAGTAGACGCTGGTTTTGGGAGGGGTGTCTCAGACTCGAAAAGACCAGGAGGAAAGAAACCATTTTGTCAAAGGGTTTAATCCAGAAAACCACAAAAATCCCGGGAAAAAAAAAAAGCTTACCTGGGTATGAGGAAAGAGGGACATAGCATTATTAATTAATTCCTAGCATTTTATGAGCACTTAAAATGTACCAGGCCCTAGGCAATATCACTTTTCTTATTAATTTTCACTTATGAAATGTCCTCATTTTACTTATAGGGAACTTAGGCTGAGAGAGGTCATGTAGTTTGTTATGGTTATAGTACCTTCTATATGTCAGGTGCTTTACATACATTCATTTAATCCTCATCAGCAGCTTCATGAGTGATTTATTATTTCTACCATGTGGAGAAGTTATCAGAGACTTAGAATTGAAGGACCTTGCTCAAGGTCACACAGCCAGTTAAGTGATGGAGGTGGAGTTCAGACTGTCACCAAAGCCTTTTTTTCCCCCACTATACCATATAGTCTAATTTTTAGATCAAAAAGACAGAGATTAAAGAATTGAGAGGGTTTAAATCAAAGCCAAATAAAGCAAGCATTTTTGGGGTCCCTACTATGTGGAGAAAGCATGAGGATAGATGGTTTGGACTCCAAAGAAATGTAAAACACAGTCTACTTCTGTAGTATATCTGAAGAGATAAGGCATACATGTGTAAAAAATTAAGTGGCATTCATTGGATAAACTGACTGTTGAGACCAGTTATGTGCAGGGCACTGCATTAAGCCTAGTAACTGGCAGGAACATGCTTCTAGGTGGCCCTGGGGATTAAACCAAGTGGTATCACAGTCATTATCATTTCATTAATATGAAAATGGTGGGCTGGAATACCATATACACTCAGTAAATACTTGCTGCATGCACACGTCTGAATAAAAGAATAATCCTGGGTACCATCTGCACCAGAGGTTCTTGAACCTTGGGGATCAGAAAGCTTGGGAAGCTTTATAAACTAATTGACCTCTGGCAATGGGGGCCCTAAAACCTATATTTTTGAAAAGTTTTCCAGTTGATTGTGATAATAGTTTCAGGAACTTCTGATCTAGATTCTACGTGGACCACTTATTGGAGGCAAGTTACTGATTGAAAACTGCTAGAATACGTACTAATTCAAGAGCTGTCCTGAGGCAGCCTGTGATCGGTTATCAGGTGAGGGAGGCAGACAGTACTCAGAGTTGAGAGGAGGGAAGGTTGGAAGGACTTGGAAAGCTTCACAGAGGACCAGAGATTTCACTGGGCTTTGATGGTTGGGACAGGTTTGGATGGGTAGAGAGGCCTTTAGGCAGGCACCACCGCAAATTGTTTAGATAAGGTGAGCCAAAGAAGGTAGAGACACCTGGGCTGATTTCCTTGGAGAATTCCATGGCATTTATTAGAAATAACTCTGGATGCTCGGTGTGGATGTTTCTTAGGCAAAATTTGCAAGTCAGATTGGATTTTCCCATCTTCCCATTCTACTTGTGCATCAGTCAGTATGAGCCCAGGGAATGCAGATTCTTTTTCATGTTAGCCTCACTCTGGCCAATTAGCTTCTTTAGTTTTTATTTATTTCCAAGTTTAATTTAGTTGATGACCTTCCCAGAAACTTTCCAGGACTGCCAGAGAGTTGTGCTTCCCTTCTGTTCTCAAGTGCTCTCATCCTGATTCCTATCTCACGTAGTGTTCTCTGTTCTGATTAAGACCAACATCTCTTCCTGTAAGAAGCTACTATCATTCTGGTCACGCAGTGTTGAAACCTGACTCATCTTTGGCTCTTCCCTCTCCCATAACTCCCCAGATCCACTTAGTTGCCAGATCCTATTGTTTCTACTTTTCACACAATCAACAAATATTTCCTGGATACTTCCTAAGAGCCAGGTACTACACTAGGTGCTTTAAATGCATTATTTCATTTTATCTCCATAGCAACCTTATGAGGATGGGTAGCATCCCCATTGTACAGATGGGGAATCAGGCTTAGAGTGATCAGGTAACTTGCCCAAGGTAAGAATGCTAGGCAGCGAAGGAGCTGGGCCTCAAACTTGGGTCTTTCAGACTTTATATCTCCCATGTCCACGACCTCATTTCCAGAGTAGATTCCAACTCCTTAGCCTAGCACTTGAGGGACTGCTACCCTCCAAATCTGGTCACATCGTCCTTTCTCACCTTGCATCCATCACAGACTTCTCGAGGTTTCTCAAGTGTGCTTTCTCACCTCTGTGCCTTTGCTCACACATTCTTCTACTCGAAAGTCAATCTTCCCATCTTCCCCTGCCCTCCACTTCCAAGCTAAAGGAGCTCTCTTTCTTCTTGGAACTCCCACAGTATTTTGTCTGACCCACTTTTATGGCAGTGAGAACTTGCCGCTGCTTCATTGTCACGTGGGTGTCATGTCCTGTGCCCCCTGCCAACCCGCCGTGGGTCCTCTGTACATTTGCCTTCAAGGGGAAAAGGTCAGGGTCTGAGACTAAGCAGCACACGTTCAGCTTCCTTTTGGTTGGATAGTCCACTGACTGCCTCAGGGGCTTAGCTTCTTTTTAAAATGAATTAGGTTTATTTTTAAATTTGCTTCAGAGAAACAAAATGAAGAAGTCTGTAGTAGAAAGAATATCACTTATTATCTTCCAAAGTTAAATAGAATGACATTAGTATTATTGCTTGTCTGGGCTTTTCCATTAGATCAGACAATTGGAAGTTGGCAGTGAGGAGATCTATGTGTTATAATAGTTCTGGTGACCTTGAGCAGCTCACTTAACCTCTTGAGCAGCTCTCATAACCTCTTAACCTTGATTTCTTCATCAGTAAAGCTCATTTATATACTGGGCTGAGGGGGGTGGTGGTGCAGAGGATGACTGTGAGGAGAAATGATCTCTTAAGTTCTCTTCTTGCCCAGGCATGCTTTGACCTGAACTTTCTGATCCATCCCAGAGCATCTTAAAGAAAGCAGAATAATGTAATGACTGAACATGTGGCTCAGGACTCAGTGTATCTGTTTAGGTGCTTTTGGTTCAAGCAATAGAATCTAAACCCAGTTGGTTTAAATAAAAAAGGGGATTTATTGGCTCTTGTAACTAGAAGGTCTAGGACTGGGTCAGGTTTCAGGTACAATCTAATCCAGAGATTCTTACAGTCTTCACAAATATGACTGTATTTCTTTATGATTCTCTCAGCTATGCCATCCTCCACAAGTAGCTTCATCCACAAGGTAGCAGAGTGGCTGCAACAGTTCAAGGCTTCATATCCGCACATCACTCTAGCTCAAAACAAGAAAGAACTTTTCCACCCTCAACCGTCAAACCAAAGTCCTGGGCTTTACTCTGGTTGGACCAACTTATGTCATGAGCCCACTCTTCATCCGGATACTGATGGGGATGCCAAGGGATGATTGGCCCAACTCTAGAAGTTAGTGAGGTATCAGCCCCACCCAAATCACTTCTGTGTAGGCTTCTGTGTAGGAGGGCAGGATAGAGTGGATATCAAGAAGTTTGATCACATTCTCCACTGTCACAGCCACACTGCCCATGATCAAATTCTGGCTTTGCTAGCTATATGTTCTTGGGTAAATTACCTAACTTTATTAAGCATCAGTTTCCTTATCTGTAAGATGGGATAACAATACATATCCCAGAGGATTGTTGTAAGGATTTAATTAAATAATATATGTATGTAAAGCACTTGGTGTAGTTCCTGGCACAGAGTAAGCGTGATGCTGCTGTGATGATGTGATTGAAGAGGGACGGAGAGCAGTGGCATTAACCCCAATTTAAGAAGCAGCCAAGTTACAGGAATGTTTTCTAGTCAGAGCATGCACACCTGCCATGTTGAAGGCTCCTGTTTGATTTTCTGCCCACATTATACTCTTCTGTATCTCTATCCCTTTCTGCTCTTACATTATGTCCTTTCTAGAAATGCTTTCCTTCTCCCCTGCCTCTAAAATCTTCTTTATATTTCAAGGCTCAGCATAAGTGCTTTTATAGTTAATAGTTTCGGTCAGTGATTTTATATGTATGTAACTGAGTCTCCCCATGAACAGGATCAGTGAGGGTTAGGAGCTCAGGTCTGGATTAGACAGACCCGAGTTTGCCACCTAGAAGCAGTGTGACTTGGGGAAGTTATTCAACCTCTTCATGCCTTAGTTTCCTCATCTGTAAAACAGGGTCTAACCCTCAGTTATTGAGAGAATGAAATGACGCAATGTATGTAAAAAGCTTAGTTCAGTGCTGACACAGAGTAAATAATTGATGGTAGTAATTGTTATTCTTAGCTTCATGAGGACAAGGTCTGTGTTATAGTCCATGCAGCAGTAACTGCTGTGCTGGGCACATAATCAGATAAACACTTGTTAGTGGGTTTTGAAGCGTATGGAGGTTCTCTTTCCTTTTCATGACCATCTCCTTACCTCTCCACCACCAACAACAGAAAAAGCAGCCTCTAAACCTTAGTAAAGGCAGTGTAGCAAAGTGGATGATGTGGAAGATTGACTGAGTCACCGGCGGGAAGGAGGGGTGGATAGGGGTGGCAGATGACATGAATAAGCAACAGGAAGCTGAGAGGAAACCAGCAAGAGGCTGTTCTGTGTTCCACCCTCCAGCCATCAAGTTCAGCCACGGCCCAAGTCGTTGTTCAGTTCAACTGGTGGTGAAATGGGGGTCAACCAGTCCGTGGGCTTTCCACCTGTCACGGGATCCCACCTCGTAGGCTGTGGGGATGTGATGGAGGGTCAGAGTCTCCAGGTAAGTGTCTCCAGCACGTCTCCGCTGCTTCTGTCTGCACGGGACTTATCGATAGTGAGTCTGATGCTGCAATTCCAGGTGGGGGGAAACTGAGTTAGAGCTGGTCTGGATTTGGGTGTAGAGCCCCTAGGTCTCTTTTCCCTGACCTTTTTCTTCCTCTTTCCAATTAGAAGCATCTCAATAGACAAGAGATTATGGGTTCTTTTTCTGGCTCAGGGGAAATGGGGCCTCTAGCTTCAAAGGTAGCTCTCAGATGTCTTGAGAGCAGATGCCTGATCCTGGAAAGGTTTTGGATCTCATCTTAATCTGAGTGTATGAGAGGAAGAGCAGCGGACCATGTGCCATTGACCTTTGACTCCCTGACCCGGGTAGGAAGATAGTCTCCTTTTTCTCCTCTCCTGCCTTCGTCTATTTCCCTCTGGTACTTTGGTTCGGGACTTTCCCTCCATCGGTTCCTAGGTTATTCTCTGCTGGCCCTTGAACTCCCCCCTCCCTTGTGAGAGGCACATACTTCCTGGTAACTTCTCACCTACTCCCATGTAAAATGAGTGTGCTGCTGTTGCTTCCCAGGGGTCAGCCTGGAGGATTGTCCTGGGTGACACACCAATGCCACTCCATTCAGCATGAGGGCTAATCCCTCGCTCCTGGGACTCCTCCAGGCCTGGGCTCAGGGCCAGATTTAAATCTTTTGATATCTCAAGCATTGGGAATATTGTAGTACCCCTCAGACGTAATTCAAAATACAGTTGGCTGTTTGAAATGACATAAGCCTTACATGTATGCTAAACATAAAATCGCTTCTTTCTGGATTTTCTGAATACAAAATTCAGGTATATGAATTGAAGGTAAAGCTTCCCTGTTTTGGTGCTTTGCCGGTGCCCCAAACACCTGCTGAATGTGTCTGTTGGGACATCTAGCCATGCGTGGGCTTCTTGCTCTGAGCTGCTGCTCTCTTTCCTTCCTTACAGGGGAGCTTCTTTCGACTCTTCTACCCCTGCCAAGAGGCAGAAGAGACCACAGAGCAGCCCCTGTGGATTCCCCGCTATGAGTACTGCACTGGCCTGGCTGATTACCTGAAGTTTAATAAGCGCTGGGGAGGTTTGCTGTTCAACATGGTTGTGGGTAAGATTCTCTCCCAGCTGCTTGATTATGTTCCTAGGAGATCCCAAGGCAGACACAGTATATTACAGTTTGCTTTGCCCAGCCCTTTTGTAATGGGGCATCCATTAGCCAGTGTGGTATGGAGAGGTGGAGAGAATTATGTACATAAGAGCTTTGGTTATAGAATTAGACTGTCTTGGATTCGAATCCAGACTTTATCATTTACTGTGGGGCTTGGGCAAGTTACTTAAATTGTGTCTGAATATCTGATGCTTTTGCGGGGTTATAGTGTAGGACGTATGTAAAACATGTACTCTAGTGCAGTGCTTGGGATATAGAATGTGTTCCATGGATGGTGGCTATTACTCATTTATCCAGCACGTATTAATTTCACTCTGTGCCAGCTATAGTGTAGATCAAAGAAACATTCTTAACTGCCAAGGAGCATACTGTCTCCTGCAGTTGCCTCTCTAGCTCCTCCCTCTTCTGGGTCAGATGACATTGAATCATCCCCTTTCCCCAAAGGCCCCACTGTTAGGAACTCTACCCACTGCCTTGGCATCTCAGGGACTTAGTCTGTAAGTTGTTCAGTACCTCCCCTTTGGATTTATCTGCCCATTTTCTGTTGTGTTTATGCTCCCTAGGGGAGAAAAGGGGAAAGAGTAGGTGATTGATTGTCCTGGGCTGCTTGGGCAAAAGGTGGTTCTCCTGAGAGGAGGGCCACAGGTCCTCATCACACCTGTGCCCAGGCTGCCCTTCGCATTCAGCCGGAGATTCTATAGCCCTTGTCTCTGCTAGGATCTTGTCGCCTGCCTGTTAGCTGGAATGGCCCCTTTAAGACAAAGGACTCTGGATACCCCTTGATCATCTTCTCCCATGGCCTGGGAGCCTTCAGGTAAGAGCTGCTCTGCCCCAGACCTTGTCATATTCCTTGCCTGGTTGCAGCTGCTGAGTCTTATTCTCAAAGGGCAGGGAAACGCGTGTTTCCATTTGTCAGTTTTCTTATCTACCATGTGCTTCATCCCAAGGCACTGGGTCCACCTTCTCTAGAAGGCCTTCCCCCAGGCCCCTTTCACCCGGTGGAGCCTTTTATATCCTTGGCTTCTCATGTTCCAGCATTTATATAAATACTTGCTTTTAGCTTTCTTCCTCTATAACAGCCTAGAAGTACTATAAGGGGCTTGAGCTTTGTGGTCAGAGAGTCATTTATTCCTACACTGAGGGCACCTCAGCTTGGGGCACTGGCATAGTGACGAGGAAGACAGACTCGTTCCCGCTCCCGTGGAGCTTGCAGCCTCAGCTGTAAATCTCAGCCATACCACTGCACTCTGTGAGCTCGGGGCTGTGGTAGAACTCTCTGAGCCTACATTTCCTCATCTGTCAAATGGAATGCTGCTCCCACAGTGTGGGTTATGAGGACTCAGACAGGCACCTAATAGGTGCACACGCCTGCCAGTTTTCCTCTCTGTCTCTCTACGTGGAGGATCGTGGGGTGATGAACTGTAAGATCTCTTTCTCCAGATTTCGGGAAACACTGATCCAAGTTTTACAAGTCAGTATCCATTCAGAATTCTCCCCATGAATTCTGGTTTTTACACCTTGGTGTGTTATATACATAGCTTAATAACTGTGGTACATGCGTTCTTATTTAAACTTGTGAATATTCTCTCTGTATGTTCATTCATCAACGTATGAGTCTAGTTTATGTCCCAGAGTGTTACACAAAGGCATCTATTTTTGCCTTTTCACACCTCCCACCCCCACCCAAACCATTGTCCACACTGTAGCCAGGCAGATCTATTTTAAAACCAGATATGATCTTGTCATTCCAGCACCTAGAACAGTGCCTGGCATATTGTAGATGCGCGATAAATATTTGTTGAATGAATGAATGAATGTCACTTCCCTATCTAGATCTTTCTTTTTTTTAAAAAAATAAATTTATTTATTTTTGGCTGCATTGGGTCTTCGTTGCTGCGCGCGGGCTTTCTCTAGTTGTGGTGAGCGGGGGCTACTCTTCGTTGTGGTGCATGGGCTTCTCGTTGCAGTGGCTTCTCTTGTTGCACAGCACGGGCTCTAGGCACACGGGCTTCAGTAGTTGTGGCACGCAGGCTCAATAGTTGTGGCTCGCAGGCTCTAGAGCACAGGCTCTGTAGTTGTGGCGCACGGGCTTAGTTGCTCCGCAGCATGTGGGATCTTCCTGGACCAGGGCTTGAACCCGTGTCCCCTGCATTGGCAGGCAGATTCTTAACCACTTCTGCCACCAGGGAAGTCCGCTATCTAGATTTTTTTGTTTGTTTGTTTTGCGATACGCGGACCTCTCACTGTTGTGGCCTCTCCCGTTGTGGAGCACAGGCTCCGGACGTGCAGGCTCAGCAGCCATGGCTCACGGGCCCAGCCGCTCTGCAGCATGTGGGATCTTCCTGGACCGGGGCATGAACCAGTGTCCCCTGCATCGGAAGGCGGACTCTCAACCACTGCGTCACCAGGGAAGACCCTATCTAGATCTTTTTAATGGCCCTTTGAACTTAATTCAGCTGTTGTCATTGGCTTACCTGAATGCAGGTCCAGGACAAAGCTTCCAGCCTTGTTGCTTGCTACTTGCCCTACTCCAGCTCTCCAGACAAACAGCCCTAAAGGCACTATGTTACTTTCTGCCTCAGGGATTTCATTTGTGCTGTGCTTTGTGGCTGTTCCCTTTGCCTGGAATACTTGCTGTTCTCCTCTCTTCCTCTTCCTCCTTTTCATCTTTTGCCTGGCTAATTCCAAATTACCTTCAGGGTCTTAGTTTGGGTGTCACTTTCTTAGGGACACCTATCCTGACCCCTATATTATATTAGGTTAAGTTTTCCCGTGGTGTGCTTTCATAAGTACCTCTCAATACTTAACATACTTGTAATGAATTAATTACTTATGTGATTATTCTTTAATGTTTGTCTTTTTAACTAGATTGTAAGCTCCACAAAGGCAGAGACAATGTCTGTCTTCTATCTTTCCCAGTGCCTAGGGCATTACCTGGAAAATAGTAGTTTCCCAATGAATATTTATGTTTTGCTAGGTTCCGTACATTCAGCAGGTATCTGTGGAGCACCTGCTCTGTGCCAGCTCCTTGGCATGAAAAGAAGGTGGGACATATAAAGATAAACAAATCAAGGAATTTGCATCCACTAGAGGAGACTGAATGTGGCTTCACGTAACTGCAGCACATGGCAGGAAGTGGAGAGCAGGTGTGGAGATGAGGCTAGAAAGGCAGCAAGATGGTTTTCTTTTTTTTATTAATTAATTTTTATTTTTGGCTGCGTTGGGTCTTCATGGCTGCACGTGGGCTTTTTCTAATCGCGGCGAGCGGGCTTCTCATTGCGGTGGCTTCTCTTGTTGCGGAGCACGGGCTCTAGGTGCATGGGCTTCAGTAGTTGTGGCACATGGGCTCAGCAGTTGTGGCTTGCAGGCTCTAGAGCGCAGGCTCAGTAGTTGTGGCACACGGACTTAGTTGCTCCGCGGCATGTGGGATCTTCCCAGACCAGGGCTTGAACCCATGACCCCTGCCTTGGCAGGCAGATTCTTAACGACTGCACCACCAGGGAAGTCCAAGAAGTTTTTTTATTCAGTAAATTTAGTACCTGCTATGTGCTATGCTGGGGTTGGGTATGCAGGAGTGAACAAAATAGAGACCCTGCTTTCAGATTGTAGTCTAGTGGGGAAAAGAAGCTAAGAAATATTATTTCCTAAGCTGACAGGTATTTTATAGAGAGAGCAGGTGAACACATGACTTTAGAGTGGTCTTTTCGGACTAAGAGTCTGTATTGAGGCCTCAGATCTCAATAAACTGGGGTGAGTCAGTTATAAATACTCTTCATTAACCATAGGGAAATTCCAAGAAAAGGGGCAGGGAGGTAAAGGGACATGGTTTCCTCTTGTTGCATCTGCGGTTAATTCAGAATCTGAAATCCTTCCCATGAGTCACAGACCTCTGGCTTCCCATCCCAGGGAGCAGTATATATATTTAAACACTACCTCGCCATTTTTAATGTGCCTCTGTCTCCTTTGGTTCCCACACAGTCCTGTGAGGTACGTGGGGAGGGGGATGCATATTTTACAGATGAGCAAATAGTCTCTGAAAGGCAGACTTGTCCAAAGTTACAGTTTAAACTGGGAAGGGATCAGAAATCTCTGGCTCTCAAGTCCGGTTCTTTGCCTCCCTGAGAGAAGTGAGAAGGTGAAAAGAAACTTAAGACACTGACTTTCTGCATCAGTTAGGATCTGAGTAAGTTGTATTTCACAGAAAAACCCCAAGCAATAGTGACCTGAATAACATAAAATTTATTTTTTGCTCAGATAAAAAGAAAGCTAGAAGTAGACAGAGCTGATATGATAGTTCTACAAAGCTGTCAGAAAACTAGACGTGTAGCTTCTATTTCTAAGGGTATCTCATGACCCAGGCTGCTTTAGGTCTAACCATTACATCCGCAGTCTATGCAATAGGAAGGGAGAACTCTTCTGAAAGTTCTATATAACACAACTGCTTACATCCCATTGACTAAAACTGCTCTGTCCATTATTGGTAGCTTCTAACCACATGTGCATGTTGAACATTTGAAATATGGCTGGTCCAAACTGAGATGTGCTATAAATATAAAACACACATTGGATTGCAAAGACTTCATATGAAAAAAAAAAAGAGAATGTAATAAAATATTTCATTAATTTAAAAATTTTGATTATATGTTCAAATGATGATGTTTTGGCTATATTGGGTTAAATAATATATATTATTAAAATTAATTCTACCTCTTTCTTTTTACTTTTTAAAATATATCTACTAGAAAGTTTTAAATTACTTAGGAGGATAGCATTATATTTCTATTGCTGGGCTAGAACTTAATCACACAGACAAACCTGGCTGCAGAGAGGCTGGGAAATGTCGTATTTTTCTGCATGACAATGTCTTCAGCTGAAAATTAGATTCTATTATTAAGGAGGAAGGGAAAAATAGGTGTTTGGAGTAGGCAATTAGCAGTGTCTGCCATATTTTTTCTGGAAAGTTGGAGGACAGACCAAAAAAACCCACATGTTAAATCTCAGATGCATATTTGCATATTAAAGAAATAGCCAGAGTCCCTGTCCTCAAGGAGCTTACCAACTAAGTTGGGAGACATACAATATATAGACAATAAGAATGCAATTGTTTGAAGTAGCCAAACTATTGGGGTTGGGGGTAGAGGAGATGCGTCAGTGTATGGGGTTGAAAAACACGGTGGATTGACTTGCACATGCTCCCTGGAGGAGGACACTGGAGCCTTGGTGAGAGCAGGGGTATGCTGGCTGGAAAAAGCTTCTGGGCCAGGGCTGCTGCAAACGAAACTTCCTCCATTCCATTTTTTGAGATGGCTACTAGCAGAGCATGGTTGGACTAGGGGCTAAGGGTAGGCCATTCTTTTGATCACTTCTCTCGGTTCCTTCCTGGATCTTTAGGACACTGTATTCAGCCTTCTGCATGGAGCTGGCCTCGCATGGCTTTGTGGTTGCTGTACCAGAGCACAGGTGAGGGATGACAGTCACAATGAACCATCATGGGGTGGGTGCCTGCAGTGGGCTAGGGTATAGGCTAGTTCCCTATAGATATATTATTTCTAGTCCTCACAGCACTATGCAAGGTAGGGGTTATATTCATTTTAAAGGTGAGGAAACCAAGGTTCAAAGATGTTGAATAACTTGCTGAAAGTGACATAGCTGAATTGGGGTTCAAACCCAGGTCAGTCTCCAAAATCCACATTTTTTTCTACTCCTATGTGTGCCCCCGATCTTTTTCCCTATTAGCTAAAGGATAAACTAGAATGTCTTGGCTGAAAAGGAGGATTTGGTAAAGGGGAGAAATAAGTCCAAGCGTCTTCTGGTTTCTCTCTGGTGGCACATGTATTGCAGGGATGGGTCAGCTGCAGCAACCTGTTTCTGCAAGCAGCCCCCAGAGGCGAACCAGCCCAACAGCGAGTCACTGGAGGAGGAATGGATCCCCCACCGTCAAACTGAGGAAGGGGAGAAGGAATTCCATGTTCGGAATTGCCAGGTAGGCTTATGCCAGTGGGGAGGGAGAGTAACTAAGCCTGTCCTCCCTATAAAACTCTCACTAAGAAGACTTTGAACTAACCTCTCTTGAAATCTTGGTCATAGTGGTTCTGAGCTTGTCACATCAGAGAAATGAGGTATTAATCAAGACTCTTACAATTGCAAGTGACAGAAACCCAACTTAAGCTTGTTAGGCAAAAAAGAGAATTGGTTGGCTTATATAAGCAGACAAGGGAAGGGCAAGACTGCTAGTCCCAAATGCCATTGGGACTTGTTTTTCACTCTTATCTCTGTCCCTCTGCTGGTTGGTCTCATCTGCTAACTGGCTTACCTTATGAGGTTGCACATGTTTGCCCTCACCATCTGAGGGAATAGGGCTGTTTTGGGGGTGTCCCTAGCTTCTACCCCAAGGTGCAAGATGAAAAATCCTGGATAGAGACTCCGAGGCTGGGGAGAAGTACCAAAATACAAAGTTCCCATCCGAAATACATTGCTAAATTTTTGGGGAGAGGGGCAATCCTCAAAAGTCAGGGTTAACAGGAGAAGTAAGGGCAGGTGAGTGCTAGGCAGACAAAAACAATAGACATGTGCTATAAGTGGGCAAGTGGAATCCAGTACTGGGTTGATGATAGGAACGCTTTTGTGTCCTTTTGTTGTCAGAGTGCTTTCATCTGGCACACTGTATACCCATATTATAGCCCTGTGTACCACGGGTAGGTAGGTAGAGTCTGAACAGCAGGGCTGACTTCGTTGTGCTCTTAGGTGGTGCTTACATGTGTGGCTGTGAGGGAGCTAAGCCTTTCTCAGGGTGTGGGGACCACAGTGCTGGATGAGATGTGCGTGGGCACGTCATCTCTGCGTTCTTCCTCGGCTCTGTAGGGGAGCGAGATCCCCGCTGGATGGTTGTGCAGTATTCCAGCTCCCACTGGCACTGTCTCTTGCAGGTGCATCAGAGGGTAAGCGAGTGCCTGAGGGTGTTAACTGTCCTGCAAGAGGCCGCTGCTGGGCAGACTGTCCTCAACACCGTGCCTGGCGGGTTGGATCTGATGACCTTGAAGGTATGGCAGCAGTTGGTATGACCTGGAGCACATTTTATTCATCAAGACTTTCTTGCTTGCAAATAACAGAAGCCTAACTCACTAGCTTAAACCAAAAGAGAATTTATTGGCCCAACTAAGTAGGAAGACCAAAAGCAGATTGGCTTCAGGCCAGTATGGCTAGATCCAGGGTCTCAAACATTGTCATCAAAGTTCTGGCATTCTCTCCCTTCTCCTGGCTCAACTCCACTCTGTGTATATGGGCTTCATTCTCACCAGACTCTCTCCATTAGGCAAGAAAGGTGGTTGCTGGCATATTCCAAGCCTGCATCTCAACTCAGCTCCAGACCTAAAAGGAAAAGAAACTCTGGTAGCTTTCAGCAATCTGGAAAGGCCATGGCCTGCTTGGGTCACATGCCCCTTCTGGGCCAGTCACTGTGCCAGAGGGATAGGGTATTCTGGTTGGCCTGCCTACGTTATACACCCACTTCCGGGTCAGGGGAACTTGAGCACCAGGACTGACAGCCCCATGGGGCCGCATGGGTGAGGGAGTGATGGTTTGTTCCGCAAAGGAAGAGCTATGGAGCCGCATACAACGTGTGTTGTCTACTGCAGGCTCATTCCTGCCTTTAAAGGAATCCCAAGAATCCCCCAGGAGGAGAGAAACTGTCCCCCACATGGAATTTGGTGCCTATGAAGGCACATTTTCCTCCCCTATCCAGTCCTTTCCTCTGTAATTTCAAAAGTAGCTCAGGCTTTATTTAGAGGACCAAGAAATCACACAAAAGCATGAAGGAAAAAGAAACGGAATTTTTGGATATTTTGATGTTTGTACTTCCAGTTCTTTTAAGATGCATTTTTTAAAAAACAATGATGTTGGGCTTCCCTGGTGGCGCAGTGGTTGAGAGTCCGCCTGCCGATGCAGGGGACACGGGTTCGTGCCCCAGTCTGGGAAGATCCCACATGCCGTGGAGCGGCTGGGCCCGTGAGCCATGGCCGCTGAGCCTGCGCGTCCGGAGCCTGTGCTCCGCAACGGGAGAGGCCACAACAGTGAGAGGCACGCGTACCGCAAAAAAAGCAAAAAAACAATAATGTTACTATTTAATACAAGCTGTTTTGTGGCCCTATTCTTCATTTAGCAAAACAGTATGGGGGCTTTCCCTGGTGGTCCAGTGGTTGGCAATCTGCCTTCCAATGCAGGGGACGTGGGTTCGAGCCCTGGTCAGGGAACTTAGGATCCCACATGCCGCAGAGCAACTAAGCCTGCACGACACAACTAAGACCTGACGCAGCCAAATAAACAAAAACAAAACAAACAAAAAAAAAACAGTATGAATGTCACATGTCTTCTTATTCCAGTTAATATTTTTCTATGGCATGATTTTTTTTTTAGGAGTTTATTAATTAATTAATTTTTGCTGTGTTGGGTCTTCGTTTCTGTGCGAGGGCTTTCTCTAGTTGTGGCAAGCGGGGGCCACTCTTCATCGTGGTGCGCGGACCTCTCACTATCGCGGCCTCTCTTGTTGTGGAGCACAGGCTCCAGACGCGCAGGCTCAGTAGTTGTGGCTCATGGGCCTAGTTGCTCTGTGGCATGTGGGATCCTCCCAGACCAGGGCTCGAACCCGTGTCCCCTGCATTAGCAGGCAGATTCTCAACCACTGTGCCACCAGGGAAGCCCCTATGGCATGATTTTTAATAGCCATGTACTATTCCATTGTATGAGTGAGAATGGTATATACATATATATATAAATATATAATAATTACTTCTTTATGAGGACTTCCTATGATAAGAGCTCTTTTCATAAACATATGCATTGTTATCTCTTTACATAGAAAGAAACCAAGGATCTAAGAGGGTAAGTATCTGCCCAAGGTTACACAGCTAAGCAAGTGGTAGAGTGAAACTTTAATTTGGGGCTTTTTGCCTATGCAGTGTGCCCCAAAGCCTCTTTAGAAAATATCTTTTAAAGGCTCTGGAAAAGTCTTCCAGGAAGAAGCATCAGCCTGAATGGCCAAGAGGTAAGGCAGGACCTGAAATCTAGAGAGCTTTGCCCGCTATATGGTGTATGTCATCAGTCCCCACCAGATAAACAGGGCCAGGCACCACAGTTCAGGCCTGTGGGCCTGTGGGCCTGAGACAGACATCGGGGGATGGCGGGCTATGTGTAGTTGGATTAGTTAAGAGGCAGCCTTTTGGAGAAACACAGAATGAAAACAGCTAAGTGAATTTTCATCTATCAGATTGAGCAAGATCCAAAAATTGATTACTCACCCTGTCGGCAAAGCTGTGGGGAAGTAGCCTCTGCTCCGTTGCCAGTGTGAGTGCAGATTGCCCCATGCAGGGCAGTTTGGCAATAGCTCTCAACAGCACGAATGCACTTAGTGTTTGACCCGGCAGTGTCCAATTCTGGGAATTTATTTTACACATCCCTGCACACATGTAACATGATGTATGTACAAGGTTACTCGTCCCAGTGTTGTTTGTAATAACGGAAGATTGATAGTATCCTAAATGTTCACCCATAAGTGACCACAGCTGGTTTAATAGATTATGGAACAATGGATGTATTATTTTGGATAATACTAATTGCTATAACACATAAGCCCCAAATCTCAGTGGCTTAACAAAGAGAAATTTATTTCTCTCCCATATGATCCAGGCTCCCTTCTTCTAATCGCTCCACCCTCTTCCACCTGTGAAACCCAACTTCACCATGTACGTTAAGCCAGGAGTGGGAAAGAGCATGGAGGTTTGCATGGAAGAGTTTTTATAGACCATGCCTGTAAATGGAGATAATCACTTTCATATTCTATCACAAGACCACTATCGCTCACATCAAGTCACAAGGCCACATCTAACTGCTGGGAAATAGAGTCTAGCTGTGTGTCCAGGAAGAAGAACAGTTTTGGTGATCACTAGCTGTCTGTACCATGGTGAAATCAAATGTAGCTGTAAAAAAGAATAAGGAAGCTCTTTATGTACTAATATTATTATGTAAAAAAAGTAAGTTACAATATCACTTGTGTAAAAGGGGGGAAAGTATATATTCATGTTTACCTGTGTAGGCATAAGTAAGCTCTGCAAAGACGCAAGCAACTTACCTGTCTGGGTAGGGAGTGGGCAACTGTGTGGACAGGGAATAGGGTAGGTAGGAGACTTCTCTATATACTCCTGATTTTACAGTTATGTAGGTATATTAACTTATTAAAAAAGCTGAAGAAACCTTGACCAATCCAAAGGTACTGAGCAAAGAGGGGAGAATTTAGATACAAAAACTTGGGATAGAAGTTGGGAAGAGCAAAGGACAACATGGGTTCAGGGCAGAGGCTGGGCAGCAAATCCTGGAGAGATTTTTTGAGCCCCTTAGGAGGCAGCTGCAGTGGTTTTTTATATAACCATGTCCTGAAGGCTTCTGGGGACAACCAGAAATAGATGCTTGCAGAGCACGTTAGAGCGAGCAGGCTCACTTTGCTAGATAAAAGTCAGGACAGATGTCAGAGGAAGTAGAACCTGAATTGGTTTTGGTACAAGCAGTCCTTGCTTCAGAGCAAAGTGGAGGGGCAGTAGGAGCGCCCCCATTCTGTACTTGACTTGGAGCACGTGTCATCCATCCCTCTGGTTGGATTGGTTATAAGGCAAGGATCTAAATAAAGTGAATTCTTATTCTTTTTTTTTTTTGGCCGCACCACGCGGCTTGCGGGATTTTAGTTTCCTGACCAGGAATCAAGCCCTGGCCACCACAGTGAAAGCGCTGAGTCCTGATCACTGAACCTCCAGGGAATTCCTGAGAGTTCTTATTCTTAACGTGCTCTTATACTGATAGGTCATATAATTTCTGTTTATTCATAGATATTTGAATATCTACCTCGTCCAGATATTATAGGTGGCAAGATTATTAAAATAAAGATGAGAAATGTGGTTTTCAGAATTCGTGCCTACAGAAGGCTGTTCAGTCCAGGGATGGCCTGACCCGTTGCTCTCCAGTGGGCAAGAGACGCTTAATACCGTGGTTTTGGAGGTCTCGCCCACTGTATTGTGTTTCTGCATCATTGTCTCACTGTTTCTTCCTCTTGCCCTTGAAGAGTTCCTAAAAATGCACCCCTGTGTTTCTGACCTTTCTCAGGGCAGCATTGACGTGAGCCGCGTGGCTGTAATGGGACATTCATTTGGAGGGGCCACAGCTATTCTGGCTTTGGCCAAGGAGACCCGATTTCGGTGAGTTTCCCAGTGATGCTGCTGTTAGCTCCACACACCATGCATTCATTCAGCATGTATTTTGTGCTAGGTACTGTTTTGGGAGGTGGGGATTCAGTGGTGAAGAAGAAAGCAAGGTCTCTGATTTCATGGAATTATGTTGCTGTGGGAGGAGACTAGCAAACAAGTAATCAAATCCCTGGCACCCAAGTGCAACAAAGAAAGTAAAATAGGCTAATAAGCTGGGGTATGTGGACGCTTCCTGGAGAAAGTGACGTAAGCTAGACTCAAAGGCAACGAAGCCAACCACATAAAGGTCTAGGAGAGGATCATTCTAGGCAGAGGGAACAGCTAAAGGCCCTGAGTGGAAAGAAGCTTGCTGTTTCAGTGTGGGAGGACCATAGTGAGCGAGGGGGAAGCGATTCAAGGTGTAATCAGGGAGATAAACAGGGGCCCGCTCATGGGGCCTTCTGGCCAGAGTAAGGAAGTTAGATTTTATTCTGAGAATGACAGGAAACCACTGAAAGGTTTTAAGTATAGAAAAATCTTATTTACATTTAAAAACCACTATGTGAAGAGTGGATTGTAGCAGGATAAGACTGGAAACAAGGAGGCTAAGTAGAAGGAGGCTATTTCAGAGTCAAGGTGAGAGATGAGGGATTTGCTTTAGGATGGAGGTAGTGGGATGGAGAGAAGTGAAGGGAGTCAGGATGGGTTTTAGAATTTTCAGGACTTAGGTAAAGGAAAGAGAGGAATCAAGGTTTTTCATCTGTGTGCCCGTCATTTGAGTGGAAGATGATTGTCCTTTATTGAGATGGAGGAGACTGGAGGAGCATTGGGGGTGGGGGATAGTAGGATGCTAATCTTAGGGCCTTAGTTTTGCCCTTGGTGACAGAGATTTCTGCTGGACAAACTGGCCATGACTTTGAGTTGTGGCAACAAGGAGGCTTTCCCTGACGTTCCTGCCACGTATGCTCTGGGCTTACTTAGCAGCTTGTGCAATCAGGACACTAAATTGTATTTTGCTACCTTGTGTGGTTCTATCTCCACTGCTATTCTGGGAGCTCCAGGAGAGCAACAACTGTGTCATTTATCTCTAGATCCACAGCACAAGGCTAAGCGCATAGTAGGTACTTGATGAGGTGAATGAATGAACGAGTAAATGAATGAAGTCATTCTGTGTGACTCAGGTCAGCTGCCTGAGAGTAGATCCAAGAGAAGGAGGAGGTCTGATCCTTGTTTTCAGAGAGTTTAAAAATCTAGAAGGATTTTTGGTGACAGTAAAAGTGATCTCTATCCAAGATCCTAACTGAAGGGTATGGGCCCTGGTTCCCCTTCCTGGCTTTCTGAGCTTTTTACCCCACCGAAGGGAGAACTACCCTAATTGTTCTTGCTTGAGTTTCTACGTGGCAGTTCCACGTGTCTGGTCCTGTTGCAGGTGTGCTGTGGCTCTGGATGCTTGGATGTTTCCTCTGGAACGTGACTTCTACCCCACGGCCCGAGGCCCTATATTTTTCATCAATGCTGAGAAATTCCAGACAATGGAGAGTGTCAACCTGATGAAGAAGATTTGTGCCCAGCATGATCAATCCAGGATCATAACTGTCCTGTGAGTAAACTCCAAGATCATGATCCCCAGTGGCCTCTCCATTTTCTGCTCAGCTGTGGCTCCCGTAATTGCCTCTAAATTATCCAGAAGTTCTACCCATTGATAGAATACATAAATACCTCCTGAATTTCAAAATCTTAATTCCTTTGGAATTTCATATCTGTCCTTCTTTAACACTTAGCTCTACCTGCAGTGATTTATTCACTAGCTTATATGACTTTATGACAGGGTGTTATGGGATTATGTGTTAGAGAGGAAGAGGTGTGGGTCTGGGTGGACTCCAGGAATCTCTAATCTCATTTGAGAATTTTACTGAGTCTTTTGAAGAGTATGGATATAGTAGACCTTTGACACTCACAAGATGGATTTTTAGAGACCTTCATGAATACCTAAATTCAGGTATCTTCCATGAACCATCTATTCTCTGCCTGAGAGAAACCATATTCTCTTCACTTCCATCATCAACACTGTCAGATGGTTTGATTTTAGGAGGCATTTTTCACAGAGAGAAGATTTTGAGTGACTTTAAGAAATGAACTTTAGGGTTTCCCTGGTGGTGCAGTGGTTAAGAATCCACCTGCCAATGCAGGGGACACGGGTTCAAGCCCTGGTCCAGGAAGATCCCACATGCCGCAGAGCGACTAAGCCCGTGCACCACACCTACTGAGCCTTCACCTAGAGCCTGTGGGTCACAACTACTGAGCCCATGTACCACAACTACTGAAGCCCACACGCCTAGAGCCCGTGCTCCACAACAAAAGAAGCCACCGCAATGAGAAGCCTGCACACTGCAACAAAGAGTAGCCCCTGTTCGCCACAACCAGAGAAAAGCCCACATGCAGCAACGAAGACCCAACACAGCCAAAAATAAAATAAATAAAATAAAATAAATAAATTTATTTTAAAAAAGAATGAACTTTACATAGGAAGTGGCTTAGAGCTACAGGTGCAGGACTAAATTCTCACTGACAAGTCTCTGACTTGGTCCTGCCCTGTACTTGAGCCAAATAGCCCACATGATTCAAGGATCCCAGGTCCTATTTCAGCAAAATGACAAGTAACTACATGTCATGGCCCTATGGACTCATTCAGGTGGTTGAAATGCCAGATCCAAAGCCCGGACCGCTAGGGGTCTGCTCAGTAGGCCATGGCTTCTTCCCTTGCCCATCTTGGCCCAGGCTGTCTTCCTTGGGGCCAGCCCCTCTCCTTTCATTTTGATTTCATGGCAGCAGAGGACTGCTTGACAGTTTCCCTAAGCCATTCAGATCCAGGATAACTGTGACCTCTGGAGGGGAGGGAGAGCATTTGGGAAGGGGTACACAAAAACTGCGGATTTAGCTCTGTTTTTTTTATTTTAATAAATTTATTTTATTTATTTATTTTTGGCTGCATTGGGTCTTTGTTGCTGCACACAGGCTTTCTCTAGTTGTGGAGAGTGGGGACTATTCTTCGCTGCAGTGCACGTGCTTCACGTTGCGGTGGCTTCTCTTGTTGTGGAGTACAGGCTCTAGGCATGCGGACTTCTGTAGTTGTGGCATGTGGGCTCAGTAGTTATGGCTCACAGGCTCTGTAGCGCAGGGTCAGTAGTTGTGGCTCATGGGCTTAGTTGCTCCGTGGCATGTGGGATCTTCCCAGACCAGGGATCGAACCCATGTCCCCCGCATTGGCAGGTGGATTCTTAACCACTGCACCACCAGGGAAGTCCCTGGATTTAACTCATGACGATATATTATTTCTTAAACTGAGTGCTGGATACTCAAGTATCCATTATATTTTTCTTTATACTTTCTCATGTACCTTAGATAATCCCTTTTAAAGTCAGTTTTTCTGCATGGTATCAAATAGAGTTTAACATTTAAATCTTCCTTCCCTCATTGAATTGACTAGTAAATTTAGTTATGAGTAATTTAGCTAGAAATGAACCTAGTGAGAATTTCACCTTCAAATTAAGTGCATTTGATGTCAAAGGGCTTAAATTCTGATCCAGAAACACTCTTTTACAAGCACTTGCCCTAACTTTTCTGATTACTTAAAGGCAAGTTATTTCTTTTTCCTGTTTACTTTGTGTACAGTTCTGAGCTAAAGATGGAGCTGATAAGTTTTGTGAATGTTCAGAAGTCACTGGGTAAAAATCATGGGGTGATAGTTTATAATAACGTGGGAATGGCAGGTGCTGCAGACCTCGCCTCAATGCCCCATCCGCTGTGCAGCTGACTCCGCCTTTTCCCTGCATAGTCCGGCCTTATGGTCTAGGAGTTGAAGCAGCTTTGAAGCCAGGTATACCTCCTTTCAAATCCTAGCTCCATCCCTTACTAGCTGTGTGAACTTGGGCAGATCATTTCTCTCCTCTGGTCTGTCAAAGAGGAAAATACTTCCCTTGCAAGATTGTTGTGAAAATTAAGTGAGATAATGCATGTAAAGCACCTTGCACATTGTAGGTGCTTAAATATTTATGTGCCCTAGCCTCCAGAGCCCTACCAGATACTTGTTTTTCTTTTCTTTTAGTGGTTCTGTTCATTGGAGTCAAACTGACTTTGCTTTTATGGCTGGTAACTGGATTGCTAAATTCTTCTCCACTCAAACCCATGGGAGCTTGGACCCCTATAAATGTCAGGAGACGGTGGTGCAGGCCATGTTGGCCTTCCTGCAGAAGCACCTTGGTAAGGAGAGAACTGGGGCTCATGGGGCAGCTGGTGGGGGGGGGTCTCTTAGATTTCCCTGCACAGTGGTCTATACTGACATGTCTTGGATCAGTGAGATTTATGGCAAAATGTGAATGAAGGAGAGAGTTACATAGAATTCTAGAAAGAACACATAGCTGAAAGTTTGGAGATCCTGATTCTGTCTCTACCACCTGAATGACCTTGGCCTAGTCATTTAACTTTTCTGAGCCTTGGTTTCCTCATTGTAAATGGAACATTCACCTCTCTCTACTCCACTACCTCTGTTCTAACTCATTAGCACTCACCTTATCTGTGTTGTGGAGGAGGTTATGACGATAGAAGATGGGCTAAATTGTGGAAGTGCTATTTAAAAAAAGAAAAAGCATAGAAGGATGATGACTAATGTCATGAAGTACAGGCCAGCAAATGGCCAGACCTGTAGAGGTCTTTGGTCCAGCCTCCCACCCAGAGAAGACATCCTCTCATATCTTCCCTGCTGTGAGGTCACGCAGCATGGAGAGTGCGCTGCTCTGAGGGTCAGCCCTCTCCGTCACAGGAAACTTCAGTAGTTTTAAGAATTGATATTCTAGTTAGGCTTTTTTTGGTTACAAGGACTAGAGATCCACTAATTTACCTCAAGAAGGAAGGAGAGTTTGTTTATGAGAGTACACCTGGCCAGGCAGGGAAGGGAAAAGTTAACAGGAACCGAGGTAGCTTGTAGGACTGACTTCTCTGTCTCTCTCTTGGGCTCAGTCTCTCTGTCTTCCTCTCACGACATCTCTGTTTCTCTTTGCTCCGGTCTGCGTTTTTCCTCTTTCTGCTCTGTACTTTTACTCTTGCTGAGAGCATCTGCATATTCACTGTTTCTGCTTCCTTATCACTTCGGTTGGCTTGAACCCCTTGTGGCTTGTCCTCTCCCCTCGTGGCATCCTTTCGTCTTCCGCTCCCTCTGTTCACCGCCATACTTCTGGTATTTCTTAGACCAGATTGCCAAGAGAAACAACTGGGTTGTACCAGCTCATCTTTATGGGCCAAAACACATTGTGGGCCACTGCCCAACACGGGCCCAGAGCTCTCTTGATCAGAGGTCCCTTTCTGATCCAGTCAGAATGGAGTAGGCTACCATTATCTGTGCAAGGCTGATCCCTCAGCAGGTGCTGGGCGGTAAGGCAGCTTCCTTCAGAAGGGAAGTTAGGTTTGACCTAACTCTAACCTAAGACCAAGATCTGATTCTTTGTAACTCCTCCCCACTTGCCCTGGGTATCCCCTCAAGAGCTACCCCGAGAAGCCTCAGACCCCTGTACGTGGCAGCTCTTTAGATATTTGAAGTCACCTATGGTGTCCTCTCTGAGTTTTCTGTTCATTAAGCTAAATGTGCCTGGTACCTCTACCTGTTCCCTGTGCAGTTTCCCGTGGGGCCATTTATTTCCCCCTTTGGATGTGCTGTTTGTTGCTGTGCCTTTTAACATGTGCTGCCCTGACTTGAACACGACATGCCAGATGTGGTGTGGCCAGTGCCTGGTACAGCAGGACTGTCACCTCTGAGCTCTGGATCCTAGACTTCTCGTTGGATGGCCTGAGTGTATTAACCTTTCCACCAAGTGCCAAACAAATGTGATTTGGATTGACTTTGCTTTTAAAATGTATCTGTCCTATTTCGAATGTATTGACTTTTTGAACGTAAATTTACATTTTAAGATTTATGCCTGTACATTTCATCTTGCTCATCATGAGCCACTGTGCCAGCATGGGTTTAGAGCCTTTAGGGTTAACAGAGACCTTAGAGCATCATTCTTTTTTTTTTTTTTTTTTTTTTTTTTCAGTACATGGGCCTCTCACTGCTGTGGCCTCTCCCGTTGCGGAGCATAGGCTCCGGACGCACAGGCTCAGCGGCCATGGCTCACGGGCCCAGCCGCTCTGCAGCATGTGGGATCTTCCCGGACCGGGGCACGAACCCATGTCCCCTGCACCGGCAGGCGGACTCTCAACCACTGCGCCACCAGGGAAGCCCTAGAGCATCATTCTTATCACTTGGTAGGAGAGGAATGGATCCATGTCTCAAGACTTTAACGGGGCCTGATTACACGGTGCTCAGCCCACTTTCCCTGTTTCCTCTTGGGCATCATATCATTAGGGAAGAGCTAAAGATGACAGGGGAGCCCACCATGGCATGATTGCTCTCCCTTGAGTAGCAATGTCCATCGAGCTAAGATACTCACTATTGGAGACCAGCAGAAGATTAGGAGAGTCTTAGATTGTCGGAAGATTGTTGAGGACGTGCTTTATGCCAGGCCTTCTGCTAAGTACTTTAGTTACGTTAGCATGTATAATCCTGCAGATGGCCCTTCCTGATGGGTGCTTTTATTATTAACTCCATTCTACAGACGAGGATACTAAAGCTTAGAAAATTTAAGTAATTCATCCAAGGTTATCTGGTTAGTAAGTGGCAAAAACCCGAATGCCCCCTAGGCTGTCTGATTCGAAAGCCCAGGTGTTTCATTGCTGCACTGTTCTGGCAGTGGCTCTGCTGACCCAGGGATGCACTGAGTCTTCGGGAGACACAGAGGACAGGCCCTAACTCAGACGGAAGGGAAAGGACAGCTAGGAAAGGAGGCTCCCTAGACAAAACGATGCTTGTCTTTAATGTTAGAGATGAGTAACGCTCACTAGGCAAGGAGGGGCCAAGGGTCTTCTAGACAGAGGCACAAAGACTGGTGTGGGCTTGGTCAGTTTTGAGAAGCTGTTTTTAGTGTATCTGGAGTTCAGGATAGTGAATTGTTGGAAGATAAAGGTAGAGAAGTGGGCAGAAACCAGATCTAGAAGCCCATGTATTTGCTGAAATAAGTTTGAATTTTTTTAAAATTTATTTAATTTATTTTTTATTTATTTTTGGCTGCATTGGGTCTTCGTTGTTGCGTGCGGGCTTCCTCTAGTTGTGACGAGCGGGAGCTACTCTTCGTTGCGGTGCACGTGCTTCTCATTGCGGTGGCTTTTCTTGTTGTGGAGCACGGGCTCTAGGTGCACGGGCTTCAGTAGTTGTGGCTCGCGGGCGCTAGAGTGCAGGCTCAGTAGTTGTGGTGCACAGGCTTAGTTGCTCCATGGCATGTGGGATCTTCCCGGACCAGGGATCGAACCCATGTCCCCTACATTGGCAGGCAGATTCTTAACCACTGCACCACCAGGGAAGTCCCATAAGTTTGAATTGGGCTGTGAGTGTCCTTGGTGGGTTCTAAGCAAGGGATTGTCATGATTAGACTTGTGTTTGTAGTCTGGGTGCATCATGGAGGGTGGGTGAAATGGGGCAGGTTGAGAGCTGCCCAGCAAAGAGCCCAGCTAGGAGGCTCTTGCAGTATCCAAGTGATTAAGAGATAAGACAGTGAAAAAAGGCAAAGGCTCTCAGCTTGGGGTAATTAGTTTTGCAAAGAGAGAAAAGCTTTTTGGTGGCCATTTCCCACAGTACATTGTCACGTGGGAAACTAAAATAGGTTGTAGGTGGCTCAGGTGAACTTCTCGCCACTTCTAAAAAATACCTCTGAGAGCACATGTTCCGCTGACACAGGGATTGTGTTACCTTCTGTTAAGAAGATTGGTGTTTCTTTCATATGAACTACATGCAGCTCCTGTCTCCAGCTACTCATCCTCCCTCCCACTCTCCTGGAAGACCATTTCACACCTTCTTCTTTCTCTTCAAAGCTCTAACACCTTCCCCCCCATCCCGTCTCTCAGCTGCTTAACTTTGTCTCCCACTTCACTAAGAAAATGGAGGCAGTCAGTACCTCCTCAAAATCCCAACGCTGCATCTACCTACCTTTTTCTTGTACATACTCAGCTTTCCGTCTGGTTCCTACTCAAGTTGTCTAACTGGGCCACCCCCTCCACCTGCACGGTGGATGTCACCCTCTTTGGTCTGCTCAGGATGATTGTGCCAGCAATTTTTCCTCTTTACCTTAGATCATCAATTTTTCGCCTCTGCTGGTTTATTTCATGCTGAAATTTCTCTTGAAAAGAATCTGTCTTGACCCACACTTTGCCCCCCAGTTACCACTCTGTTTCCCTGTTCCTCATGATAGCGAACTCCTCACAAGAATGTCTTCACTTTCTCTGATTCTTCTCTTCCCATTCTCTTTTTTTAATAAATTTTGGCTTGGAGACTTTTTTTTTTTAAGAAGACGTTTGGGGTAGGAGTTTATTAATTTATTTATTTTTGCTGTGTTGGGTCTTCGTTTCTGCGCGAGGGCTTTCTCTAGTTGTGGCAAGCGGGGGCCACTCTTCATCGCGGTGCGCGGGCCTCTCACTGTCGCGGCCTCTCTTGTTGCGGAGCACAGGCTCCAGACGCGCAGGCTCAGTGGTTGTGGCTTACGGGCCTAATTGCTCCGTGGCATGTGGAATCTTCCCAGACCAGGGCTTGAACCTGTGTCCCCTGCATTAGCAGGCAGATTCCCAACCACTGCGCCACCAGGGAAGACCCCCATTCTCTCTTGAACCTACCCTATTCAGCCTTTTGCATCCCAGTCCTCCATGAAAACTGCCTTTGTCAAGGTCACCGGTGACCTTCACAGCACTAAATCCAGCGATCACTTCTCCTCATTCCTCATCTCACTGGAACCTCAGCAGCTGCTGACAGAGTTGGTGATGCCCTCCTCTGTGATGCCCTCCTCTGTGAAGCCCTGTCTTTACTTCCAAGACGTCCCCCTGCGATTTCCTCCCCTCTCAGTGTCTGCTCCTCCTCCATCTGCTTTGCTACTTCCAGGACTCAGAGCTTGGACCGCTTCTCTACCTGTATCTCCTCATGTCATCTAGTCTTATGGCTTTAAATGCCATGTCTGTGCTGACAACTCTCCAGTTTATGTCTCCAGTTTGATCTCGCCCGTGAACATCAGATTTATATAACCCACTACTCAACATCTCGACTTCTTAGGGACATCACACACAAGAACAGCTTTCAACTGCAGTCTTTCCCTCCTCAGTTAATAGTAACTCCATCCTTCTAGTTACTCAAACCAAAGTCCCCGTTCTTTTCTCTTACACCTCCCATCTAATCCCTCAGAGAATCCTATTGGCTCTACCTTCAAAATACAAACGGAAAGTAATCACTTGGGGCTTCCCTGGTGGCGCAGTGGTTAAGAATCCACCTGCCAATGCAGGGGACATGGGTTCGAGCCCCGGTCCGGGAAGATCCCACATGCCGCAGAGCAACTAAGCCCGCACGCCACAACTACTGAGCCTGTGATCTAGAGCCCGTGAGCCACAACTACTGAGCCTGTGCTCTTGCGCCCACGAGCCACAACTACTGAGCCCACATGCCACGACTACTAAAGCCTGCATGCCTAGAGCCCGTGCTCCGCAACAAGAGAAGCCAGCGCACCACAGCGAAGCGTAGCCCCCACTCGCCACAGCTAGAGAAAGCCCACACGCAGCAATGAAGACCCAATGCAGCCAAAAATAAATAAATGAATAAATAAATTTATTTTTAAAAAAAGAAAGTAATCACTGGTCACCACCCCAACTACCATTCTGTCCAACTCTTCTCTCACTTAAATCACTCTAAGAGTTTCCTAACTCATCTCCCTACCGCCACCCTACACAGTCCTTTCTCAATGAAGCAGCCAGAGTGATCATTTCAGAAAGGAAGCCAGATCTTGTCACTCCGCTGTTCAGGATCCTCCAGTGGCTCCCATTTCTCTGAGAGACAAAGCCAACACCCAGCGTCCCTCCTGCGGCTGCTCCCTAGGGCCTACTTCACTGTCGCTGCACAAGCCTCCGCACCCCAGGCACACTCCCGCTTCACACCTTTGCACTGCTGTTCCTGCTGCCTCAAATGTTCTTCCCGTGTAGTCTCATGGCTCACTCCCACCTCCCCATTTTTGCTCAAATCTCACCTTCCTAGTGAGACTCATGTTGACGTCCCTCTTTAAAATATTGTACTGGGACTTCCCTGGTGGCACAGTGGTTAAGAATCTGCCTGCCAATGAAAGGGACACGGGTTTGAGCCCTGGTCCGGGAAGATCCCACATGCCGCGGAGCAACCAAACCCGTGTGCCACAACTACTGAGCCCGCGTGCCGCAACTACTGAAGCCCACACACCTAGAGCCCATGCTCTGCAACAAGAGAAGCCACTTCAATGAGAAGCCCACGCACCACAATGAAGAGTAGCCCCCGCTCGCCGCAACTAGAGAAAGCCCACGCGCAGCAATGAAGACCCAACACAGCCAAAAATAAATAAATAAATAAATTTATTAAAAAACACAAAAAACAACCCAAAAAACCATTGTACTGTCCCTTCCTCCTGTCACCCCCATCTCCCAGCCACCAGCACTGCTTCTGTCTGGCTCTCATTTTTGCCACAGCGCAGCTCACCTTTTCATATCCTATGTAGGTTGTTTTGTTTGTTGTTATCTCTGCCTCCTAGATTGTGAGCTCTGAGAGGATGAGCATTTCTATTTGTCTGTGGCTGTATTTTTGGCACCAAGAACAAACCGTGGCACATAGTGGTGTGCTCGGTAATTTTTGTATTAATGAATATGTCGCTCTGTTTGCCGAGGACCTGTTCCATGCCAGGTTCTTGGCAGGGCCCTGGGGATCTGAAGCTGAAGGAGAGTGGTCGCTGCCTTCTGTCCCAGGTTTTTTGTTTGTTTTGAACAAAAACACCATTTGCCTGCTCAGCTGTGTCCTACTCCCTCAGCCTGCGGCCTTGGACCCTTTCTGACTGTTCTCGCCAAGTCATTAGATCCATCTGCCCGTGGTCCCAGGGCCCTCTCTTGAATTGTACCCGGTGTTATGCTGCTTCATGATGTTGCTGTCCTATGCCCTTCACTGACATGGCCCTGCTTCCACATTCACTGGTTGGCGTGTGAAGGATCTGTTCTTGCTCAGCAATATCTGTGGGCTTGGAATTGGGCTTTCCACTTTCTCACCCTTTCTGACCGGGGTTTGAATTCTGTCTCTACCACTCACCATCTGTAATGGCTTTGGACAAATCAGGTAGCTTCACTGAGGCTCAGTTTCCTCAACTGTGAAATAGGGCCAATATGGTACTTAACACATAGGGATATTATGAAAATTAAATGAAACAATCCATGTTTAGCAAAGTTCCTGGAATGAGTTATCCTTCAATAAGTGCTACCTTCTGTTATTATTATCGTTACTGAGTTGTTATGGGTTAAGCAAGTCATTTATGAAGCACATGTATGAATAGTAGTTGTCATTATTTCTTCCACCATCACAGCCACCGTAACCAGTCCTTTTAGTATCCCAGGTGCTCCTCTCTCTAGTATGACCCACTAAATCCATGGTAGCTACTCTTTGATCTAACCTTACAACCGTTTACCTAACCTGGATTTTTTCTCATTCAGACCTGCACGAGGACTATGACCAATGGAACAACCTCATTGAAGGCATCGGACCATCACTAACCCCAGGGGCCCCACAGCATCTGTCCAGCCTGTAGGCACAACGGGTCATTTGTGAAAGGTCACTGAGCTGAGTTCCCATTGGGGGCCTGCCCAGGGACACCCGTGTCCTCCTACCAGGAGGTGGTCATCATGACCCTTCTGCACAGATTGAGAGGATGTAATCACACTGCTGGTTGGATAACCGGGTACTTGGATCTTGGACTTGTTGATCGTAAACTCATGTTGGGACTTGGGTCACTCACTGATTGGCAAACTGACTTTCTGGGGACTGAGCCCTGATGGTGTGGGAAACAAGCAGTGGGACGGGGCAAGGGAGGACCCAAGCCCCAGGCTGAGCACTGTGAACGCTGTTAACCCAGCCAGCTGACTCCCTCATCTTGGGCCAGTGTGGCTTCTGCAGTGGAAGAAATGGAGCCAAAGGATGGAGGGAAAATTCCCACTGTCCGGACCTCTAGCCCAACCTGCTGCTATTTCTTCCTCCCCCTCCCCCTTCTCCCTCCCCAGTGTTGCTTGGTGAGTTCTAAACACTTTAGGTAGCTTTCTAGGATATGGACCACCATCAGATTTTCTGTTTATTTTCAAGCCTTCTCACTGCATGAAACATAGTCTCAGGCATTTAGTCAGGATGAAGTTATACTTGTGAGCCCGTGGAAGGGGCAGACAGCATTGTCCTGATAGCATAAGGAGAGAGGCTGAGGGACAACGGGTACCACAGAAGCTCTGAATGTCTTAGAGTTTTGCTGAAAATGTAGCTTGACAGGAAACAACAGACGTAGGTTGGGGTGGAGAAGGGAGAATAACATTGTTAAGTAGCCATTTGATCAGGCCCTCACCACAAAAGTGAGGGAGTTTGGTCAGTTCGAATTCAGGAAGCCTTCCCTAGAGAGAAGTCTTAGGAACACTTTGGTCTTGCCTCTTACCTCAGATATCGTGAGCCTCCAACTTGCTCAGAATCAGGGTGCTGTAGTTGTCTTCTGGCTCTGAGGCCTTAGTCTCAAATTTAAGTCAAGATATAGGTTGAATTTCCATTCTGTTCCATTTTTAATATGAATGATATTAATACTCATGTTTGCCTAATGATATGTTTGCCTAGAATATTTTCTGTATTTAAACTGCATTACAGCAAGATGGGGAGCCATCTGGAAGTAACTTTTCCTTCTGTCTTTCTTTGATTGCTTACCACTTGTACCCATGTGGAAAAAAACTTCGAAAGGAAAGGAAGTCTTCCTAGTGATCTAGTTCAAAGCTGTCTGGGAACATCAACCTGAAACACCCCTCCCCACTACTCTAGACCTCTCACCTTGGCCCAAGTAGGGCACCCCAGAGGAAGCAAGAGCAAGAGGAAATGCGTCTCTATGCAACAGGGCCAAGGTCAGTGTCACCAAAGCAAGCTGGGACTGTCTCCCATCTCTCAACAGCTATTCTTTCTCAGAGGTGAAACACCAGATCCATTGAGGCTGTGGACCTACCTGGGGAGGATCTGTGGATTCCAGTGAGACAGAGCATAAGGAGAATATCGTTAAAGCCCTGGCTCTAGAGTTCTATAGCGTGGTTTTTGAGTCCAAGCTTCACCACTGCTAGCTGGGTAAATTTGAGCAAATTATGTTCTCTTTTTAGTCTCAGTTCCTGCATTTCTAAAATGAGGATCTGCATTCTGAATAGTTAGGAGGATTAAGTGAAAAGATGTATAACCCATGGATTATTTAAAAGTATGATTCCTACTTTCCAAACATGTGAGATTTTCCTAGTTACCCTATGGCTGTTGTTTTCTAGCTTAACTGCTTTTGGTCAGAGAAAATGACCCACGTGGTTTTCATTCTGAGACTTGCTTGTTGCCTCAGTGTGAGGTCAATTTTGTAAATGTTCCATGTATACTTCATAAGGCTGTACATTCTCAAGTTGTTGCCTCGCTGTTTTTACTCAAGAACACATTATGGATTTCCATCCATGAGAGCACATACAGATATATTGGAGGGCCTTTTAACCCCTAGACAGGGACTAGAGCCCCTCAGCAATCACAGAACCAGTAGAAGCCATCCCTTGTGCCTGGGGCTGGTTCTGCAGACGCTGAGAAGTCAGTTCTGACAGCATTAGAGCGTGAGACCCAACTTCTGCCTTAGACCCTTAAATAATGCAGGTATATTTTGTAAAGACCTGGACCCTTCCTAGAGAAAGAAGTTGTTCGGAAACTGGATCCATCTCCTCTATTCAGTTCATGTTCTGGTAATGACTCATTTATCTGATGTCATTGGAGTAGGTGAATTTTCCTCACTGAAAATTATCCTTTAAGTCACACAATATTATGTTAACTATAATATTGAAGGGTAATTTACCAAAAAGATAATGCACATACTTCTTAATGTGATCTGACCTCATTTAACTTTTTAGAATGTTTCAATCAGGATAGATTCAATTATACAGTAGTAACAAACAATCCCAAAAAGCAATAAAAGTTTATTTCTTGCCTGTGCTTCTTGTCCTCTGTGGGTCAGCTCGAGACTCTCCTCTGCATCATTTTTTTGCGGTACGCGGGCCTGTCACTGTTGTGGCCTCTCCTGCTGCAGAGCACAGGCTCTGGATGCGCAGGCCCAGCGGCCACGGCCCACGGGCCCAGCCTCTCCGCGGCATGTGGGATCCTCCCGGACCGGGGCACGAAACCACGTCCCCCGCAAAGGCAGGTGGACTCTCAACCACCGCGCCACCAGGGAAGCCCATCCTCTGCATCATTTTTATCCTCACTTGGGGAACCAGGCTGGCAGAGCTGCCATTATCTGGAAATGTTGCCATTGGCCATGGTGGAACAGGAAGAGAACATGGTGAAGCACCCACTTAGCCCTTAAAGCTCCTGCCCAGAAGTGACCCTCATTATTTCCACTCACATTTCATTGGCCAAAACTAGTCATCTGGCCGTACCTAACATTCCATACCATCCCCAGAGAACAAAAACACCTGTGACCAGGTCTAATGCCAGCGCAGTGGCGCCCTGTGATCTGTGAAGATATGGAGAGCTGTTTGCACCTACACTGCGTGGCTCCCAGCTGCTGGCCTCTTAGTTCTTTTCATTGCTTTTCATAGTTTGTGTTGTCTCCCTTGTGGTCAGCCTGCCAGCCATTACTCTTCACTGCCTTGACTGTGCCACCCCCCAGCAGCTCTCCCTGTTCACTTCAAATTTATACTTCTGATCAGCCATGTTATTTACAACTGTCTCAAGTAAAACTAAATAGTCACTGAGAGAGGGCTTTAGGGACGTTCCTGCAACTAGAATGCACTGCCTTTAGTGCTTAGACTTTGTAATCCTTCCTTTGACTGCTCAGAGGGGGTATCACAGGCCTTTGGTCTTTTGTCCAGTTTTTTGTTAGCTTCCAGGGAATCAAAGGGCACCAGTTAAATGGCCTTTTAAATAAGCAAGGTAATCCTGCATATTAATTGACATGTGCTGATAAATTGCATTCTAGTGAATCCTTTCCGAAAGCAAAGAAGATGTCTTGGGTTTCTTTTGCATCTTCTTGTTCCCCATCCTGTTATAGGACCGTACCTGTGGAGGCATCCTAATGGTATAGGTATATTGTGAAGTTTCTGTGCACAGAGTGGTGTGTCAGTTAGGAAGGATGGTAAGTAAATACAGGATGGGATGAAATTCCTCATCCCTCCCACTTCCTGGACGTGTCAGGCTAAGACTGATTGGGTTCTTGTTATGCTCTTAGCACTCCCCAAGCCCCTTGCCAGCATGTGTCCTGATACAGCTCCCCTGCTTGCCCTTCTTCAAGAAGACTACTGGGCTCTTGAAATGTCAATTGATGGATTCCAACTCTATGTCTTGGCCTTGTGGGGAACCTTCGTCTGCCCCCTTTTTCTTCTGGGGCACCACTTACCCCTGGGCCTGCAAAGTGACAGAGGGACAGGAGAGGCCCATACTCTGTACATGGGATGTAGGAAGTCAGTAGGAAGCTCACTTCTGTCCCATCACAGCCAGATGCAGAGGCGAAACGTCCCTGGCCATAGCTGCATGGAAAACGGTATTATCATCATCGTAATAGCCAACATTTATTGGGCCCTTACTGTGTGTCCCAGACTGTGCTCAGAGCTTTACACGCATCATCTCATTTGCTGTTCACAGTAAGCCCATGAGGTCAGGTGGTATTAGCCTCATTTTATGTATGAGGAAACAGAGCCATAGAGAAGTGATTTGATCAAGCTCTCACCAGAAGGAATTTGGCAAAACTGGAATTTAGCCATCAAAATCCAAGCTCTTAATCACTGGGCCATATGGCCTAATAGATACACTTGGTTTTGCACCTTCCCCATCTCTTTAAACTGTCAGGTTCTGGACTTCCCTGCTTGGTGCAGTGGTTAAGAATCTGCCTGCCAATGCAAGGGACACGGGTTGGAGCCCTGGTCTGGGAAGATCCCACATGTCGCGGAGCAACTAAACCCGTGTGCCACAATTACTGAGCCTGCACTTTAGAGCCGGCAAGCCACAACTACTGAGCCTGCATGCCACCACTACTGAAGCCTGCACACCTAGAGCCCATGTTCCGCAACAAAAGAAGCCATCGCAATGAGAAGTCCACGCACCGCAACGAAGAGTAGCCCCCGCTCGCCGCAACTAGAGAAAGCCTGCATGCAGCAACGAAGACCCAACGCAACCAAAAATAAATATAAATAAATAAATAAATTTACAGAAAAAATAAACTGTCAAGTTCTGAGGAGTGTAATTTCATGAGATTGAATCAAGAAGGTCAAACTCTCCAGCAATTTCTATATGACTTGTATTGAGATTCAGAAATATCCTGAGTGCTACTGAGAGGTGGGTTTGGGGGAGAGAACTGAGCTTTGCCGAGGACTGTGGGCCAGGTGCTCTGCTGATTTGCCAGATGAGGAAAACAGTTCAGGGATGAAGAACATGGTCAGAAATCAGACAACTCCACCGCTATTAGCCCTGTGACTCTATGCTAATTTGTTCACTTTTATGAGCTTCAACTTCCTCATGTGTAAAATGGGAATTCTGGTAGTATTTACCTCTTAGGGTTGTTTTAATAATTGAATGAAATAATTCATGTTATGCGCTTAGCACAGTGTCTATATTAAGGGCTTAATAATTAGCCATCACTAGTATTGTTTTTTTTTTTTTTTTTCTCACGGGCCCAGCTGCTCCACGGCATGTGGGATCTTCCCGGACCGGGGCACGAACCCGTGTCCCCTGCATCGGCAGGCGGACTCTCAACCACTGCGCCACCAGGGAAGCCCCACTAATATTATTTTATTTGGTCCTCCTTACATACCCATAAGGTTAGGTATAATCTGCCCTTGTGCTGAATGGCCCCAAATGGTCTCGGTCTAATTCCTATTCCAGCTTCTCCAGTTTCAGTGAGTTTCCTCACATGAAGCTTGCTAACTGCCACTCAGCTACTACTGTCGTGGGAAGGTGGAGCTAGATGGAGAGAGACAGTTTTTCCATTCTTTTCGCTCTGATCTCCCTGCTCCTCACATCAAAAAATCAAAATCCACACCACAGTTCTAGCTGTGCAAGTTCTCTTCACCACCAGGGAGAGGCTACACTCCTAGGTTCTGGTTTGGGTTTTAATTTCACACCCTATCATCCGAACACACACATCTAAGCACCAGATGTAAACTGAACGTCCTGAAATGTTGAGTGGGAGACTCAGAGAAGGTCTGTGTAGAAGTTGGCCAAAGGGACGAGGACCTGGGGATAGGGAGTTTGTTGTAGAGGCTAGTTTATGAATTTTTGTCTGCTGCCTTTGAGTCTGAGGTCAGGGGGTTAAAGTGCCCTGTGACCTCCTCAGGAGAAACTCCCAGGCCTGAGAATGGCCTGTGAATGACCTCTGCACAGCTCTCTCCCTCGCTGCCATATCCGATTCCTGTGAAGTCCTCTTGTTTCTTCCCTCGCCATGGTGCTCACGCCCAGCCCATCCTTTCCATTTCACTTGAGTTTAGTCCCTCCATCAACTCACCCTGGAATAATTTTTACAGCCTCCTGGACTCGAACCTCTCTTTTCCCTTGCATTCTGCCGCCAGATCTGCCTGACACACCATTTTTTTTTTTTTTTTTGCGGTACGCGGGCCTCTCACTGTTGTGGCCTCTCCCGTTGCGGAGCACAGGCTCCGGACATGCAGGCTCAGAGGCCATGGCTCACGGGCCCAGCCGCTCTGCGGCACGTAGGATCTTCCCGGACCAGGGCACGAACCCGCGTCCCCTGCATCGGCAGGCGGACTCTCAACCACTGCACCACCAGGGAAGCCCGACACACCATTTTTATAACAAAATACCAGGCTGGAAGTGTGGTCTAACAGAAAGATGACCAAACTAGTTGTCTGGCGCCCCGGGTTCTTGTCTTGACTCTCTCCCTGTCCCTCACTCTGTGACCTGTGTGTATGCTTTCGTCTCATGACTTCAGCTTCCCTATCTGCCAGCTGGGATATGGGGTGGTGGTCGAGTCTCCGTCACTGAATTGTCAAGAATCTACAAGATTCCCTTTCCTCTGTAGAATTGCATCTGTGCCCCTTGCTATCTGTTCTCGCCTCACCTCTCCTGTCCTCTGCTTCTTTACCATGCATTTTTCTTTTTCCCCGTAATATGCCCACCCATCCCCCAAACAAACATGCATGCCCTTTCTCGTGATGTTTTTATGCTTGCGGGGCCTCCCAGCCTTGTTTCTGTGCACCCAAACACCACGATTCGTTTAGGCCCATTTCGAGTTCCACCTCGTCTACGAGAGCCTTCTTGATTGCATTCAGCTAACATTTGATCTCTTGGCCTCCTGCTCCCCAAGAGACAGATTCTGTGCCATATTTAGTATTTTACTTTATTACATTATTCCAGGAGCAGGACCCATCTGTTGGATGGGAAAAGCATCCTCTTGTTGACTGACATGGGGAGCAGAGATTGCTGTCCCCTCCCCACATGCCCCCATCAGCAGGCTTCTTGTTCCCCAGCCAGACTTGGGAGCAGCTGGTGTTCGTCCAGCCCTCAGATGTCTCCAGCTGCTCCTGCTTCCTTTTTTTTTTTTTTTTTGGTTTTCCCAGATCCCAGCTGTGGGGCCCAGGGCAGAGCCCGTGACAGAGCGGCCAAGGGCAGGTGGAGTAAACTGAGATCCATGGACATGTAGCATTTGAGAGTTAAAAAGAGGGCAAAACTGAGCACAAATCCCACCAGTGTTGAATGAAGGAAAGTAGTTGGCCAGCTTATTTTTCCCATCTTGCTTTCATCTAAAAAAAGAAGCTGCTCAGAAATACAGTCCTCAGCCTGCTAAACCAGATGGTCCCTAGATGCTCAGCCTGCCAAGTGTGCATGTATAATTATTCATTTTCATGGAATCACACCCAGGTCTGAATTCAGACACTGACACTTTCTTTTGCCATTTGATCTAGAGCCAGTGAACCCTTCTGAGCCTTTCTTTCTTTTTCTGTAAAATGGGGTCACTAGGGTCTGCCTTGCCCACCTTGGGATTT